ATTTTAGTCCACTTATTCCTACGTATAAAAATAAAGGTAAGATAAAATCTCAATTGTGGTTAATAATAAAGTAGTCGGCTGGTCAGTTATTTCCATTCACTTCATCTCGAGTATGAAATATTGAAGGAACTGGAAGGGCGTGGTGGTGAAATGAGAAGGTTGTAATTTTTTTCAGGTTTTATCTCTGCTCTCCAGACATTGACAAGAAAAATGGGGGTTCCTGTATACAGATTTGCAGGAAGCTCCTGAAAGGGATTCAGGAAAAGGTCGGTTTCCAATCGGTACCATCCTATTGTGGTCTCTATGGAAACTAGATGACGGACCTTTTCGTAAAAAGAAGAACTGATATTCTCCAAAATTCACAGAACTTCCTCTCCACTCCGCTAAATTTAAAATAAAGAGAATTTTAAAGCAACAGTTTCGTCGTGTGGCTTCCCAATCTTGCTGGTGTTAAGCTCTGGAGTGTACTTTGTAGTATTCACAGTGTCTCGGACGCACTCCGTGCTTCCGCTGTGGCCGACTTTAGACTTTTGACCGGACACGTCTTAGTGCCTGTTTATTTCTTTTAAACAGACTAATTCACAATTGTGTTCTGTGCGACTCCAGACAAGACATGACTTTTGCTCATCTGCACGTATATTCTGCTCCAAATGATTTGGATTGCATTGTTAAAAAGTATTGGAGAGTTAATCGTCTAACGACCTGATGGTCAATGACCTGGAATTTTTTTATTAATAATAATGTTCATAAAATTATCAGTTGATAACTTCTTTGGTGTAATATATATTAAAACTTAAACTTACCCTTGTAACTAACGGTTGTTCGCAGAAGCCAATCAAATGCCTGGTGGATTATTATACCAGTACTACTTAATTATTAACTCAAAACACACCTCAAAAGTAAAACCATAAAAAGAATAATTTTCTATTCCTGATTGGCAGATTGGAGTTACAAAACTAAAATTATAACCAACTAAAACCGAGGGCTTCTAATACAAACGTACGAAAAAAAAGGATATTTGCGTTTATGCTACAGTTTCGTTTCTTTTACAGCAATATCTTAACTAAAATCTAAAACCCCTTGGTTCGAAATAAGTATCAAGCTTTCTTAACAACTTAGCGAGTATAATCAACCTTTCTAATAGCTTTTTCATAGCTACTGCAGTCGACTCTTACAGCAAAAAATATGTTATATTATTTTATAAACATTCTTTTTTTTTTTGAGTCTATCAGAGAGCTAGTTGTATGGTTTTATAAACCCCTACTCAATAGGGCCAAAATGTACGTTCCCAGGGCAAAGGTCAGAATATATAAATGTTTTGGACCGAGGAACTGTTATTTGAATTTAAAGAGGGACAGGATGTGTGGAATAGGGCCATTATTACTTCTACTTTGAAAACCGATAAACGTCCTAATATAACTAATAGTTATAAACCATTTTCTCTTACCTGCACACCGGCAAAATTGATGGAACAAATGATAATCAAGAGATTAAATGTTTTTTGGAAACCAAAGACATCCTCTCTGAAGAACAGGCTGGGCTCCGCAGAAACCAGTTAATTACCGATCACTGCGTATGTGGCAAATTAATGTGCATAAAATTGGAATAAAATGTGTATTTAAAACTGTATTTTTAACTGTAAATACAATCATCTCATCTCACATTAATAAGACCCTCAATACAACACCGATACTCACAAGAAAGTTGTAAGTCTTCGATTAGCCTAACGTAACTTTTCTCTCAATGCAACGACTCCTTGATCGACCAGAATCGTGTTATAAGAAACCTTTTTGGAATGCACACAAAAAATAAAATGTTAGCCTTTTTCTGAGAAATAAATGTCAGTACTTTTTAAAATACTAAGCAAGCATATTTAAAAGTTAAAAGTACATATTCCGACATATTTATCTCCAATTCCATACTCTTTTTTTATCAAGAAAAGAGAAAATATTTTTTTAACGGGTACCATTTTCTAATCATGATATTGCTTTTGGATACAAAAATGCTTCACTTACGTAAATAAAATCCGTTTTAGGCGTTTTTTTACACTATATTCTTGCACACTACTTTAAATTTAACTTTGGTAAAGTTACAGATTTGCATAATCTAATGAAACATGTAGACAGATAATTTAAAATTCAGAATTTCTAGAAGAAAGTAGGAGGGTCAGTGTTAAAAAGATTACTCTTTCCTTTCGTAATAATACGTTAAGTAAAGGAAAAGAAAGTATCAGGTAAAAAAAATTTCTTCTCCTAAAAGCAACATTAAACTTAAAAAAAGGAAAAATAGCAAACTCATAAACACCCTTTTAATCAATTCAGAGTATAGCTTCAACTCTGTTTGCTGTCTAAAAGCTTCTAATTCTGATTGCTATTTAATATTTAAGAATACGTCTTCAGCTCTGATATCTATTTTGGCCACCAGCTGTCAAGTAGTTAAAACCGCTATTTTATTTAATTGTAAGTTCAGTTCCTTTTGAATGGGCTGACTGCATTGACTTTTCCTTGCTGCAGTGTGAATGTGTTCCGGTTTTCCTTACAAGAGTCTTCTATGATGAGGTTCTCTTTTGGTAAATAGCCTCATAGGCATTACCTTAGTAAATTAACGAAACCGTTAATTTATATTTACTAGTTTCCAGTTCTATTGTTGTGCAGATTAATCTAAAGCTTCGCTTAACATAAAGTTTGGCTTATAGTTAAGAAGTTAAAGTATGATGTAGTAATAATACATTTTCAATCTTTTAGAAGGTTGTAGAGACATTAGAAGTTTTTATGCTGAAAGATGGGAAAAATGAGCAATACCCTCCCCCAGAACTCGAACCTCGGACCTCTCGAATACCCGTTGCGTGTGCTGGCCATTTCACCACGAAGGCATGCTAAGAAGGGGGGGGGAGAAATACCTTATAAGGTTTTAAATTATATTTCCAACGATGTAAAATTACGTATATGAATGTTGAAACTAAAATGAAAAACAGAGTTATTATCATACCAAACGTTTTTTTATTTAAAAACAAATAGGTGATAATGACAATCTCATGGTGAGAAAGTTAGAAATTAAGAGGCTCGAAGCCTAATCAATGTAAATCTTTTTTAGTAGTAATTCAAATTCTGAAATATATGATAAACTCAGCTAAAAATATTCTTCTATCAAGAAAAAAAGTAAATTTCATCTCACTTAATTACTTAAAAATTAATTCTAAAGTTTGCTAAATTTCATTTGCAGCTTACCATTCGGACATCTGACTCTGTGGACTGTTCTTCGGAGGGCTGGTTTACCATCAGACATTTGCCAAGAACTAATTCAAGCGCAGGTCCACTCACTCACTCACTTCTATGATACCCATTTTATACACCTACGCTTGTAGAGATATTAGGCTATTCTCTAGAAGCAGGAGACATGAAAAGTGAACAATGCCTCTCCGAGGCTCGAACTTCGAACCTCTCGAATATGCGCCGAGTGTGCTGACCACTGGAGATTAGGGAACACAATCGACAAATCCTGGTGGTGGAGAATCATCATTCACCATCCTTTTTTTTAGTTCGGGCGCCACTGTAGAGACATTAGTTTCTTATTTTTTAGCAGAAGACATGAAAAACGAGCAATGCCCTCGCCGGGACTCGAACCTCGACCTCTCAAATACACGCCGAGTGTACTTACCATTACACCACGAAGCCATGCTAAGAAGGCGGGAGAAATACCTTATACTCTTGCCAGAGAAAAATTTTCATAACTTTGTGGAAAAAGAGACTGAAGTAAGAAAATATAGTAAAAATAAGCTATTACTTAAATGAACTAAATTGTCGCAAACCACCCAACTTCGTGATTACAACTGAAAAATCTCACAATTACAGACACACAGGAGAGGTGAACATTGTATGTTAAAAAGATATTACGCAAATCTAAACTGCGCTTGGTAAAAGAAGCGCCAACAGTTGAAAATTAAAAATACCAGGAAACGTGAATTGTATTATTCATGATTTACTTTTTAATTTTTATAATCAAAATAATAACTACAATATTTTAGACCAAAATTATGTAAGGGCATTTACAAAATGAAATCAAAAATATATTTCCTTCTTCGAAGATCGCTTGTCTGCGAATCAATTTTAACTCGTGCATCACTAAAAGTCTGAGTTGCTGCAAAAGCTTTTCAGCTTATCACTATATCCTTCTCATCTCTCGAAACAGCATGCAATTCAGTGCATAAAACATGCTTTAGTCCGTGATAAATAATTTGTCTGTATCACGAAGAAATATACATCACGATGTTATGTATGTTCATACTGTTTCCTTCTATGGATGTGATACACGCTAATGTAACAGATGTGGACCTAATGGAAAACTATATAGTTTCCGAGCGCTACTGACATAAATCCCTTTTGGCTATTCTACGAACAAAAAAGATTCTACTGAAATTTCCATACAATATGCTTTGTTCTTGAAGGAAAACAACTTATGTCAGCCTCCCTCGAAATCGATAAAATTTATCGTAAAATCTGTACGAGTTTAAATTTATCCTCTCACTATTTTTACCTCCTTGTTAATTTAGTGATGAAGTTTTGAGTTAAACGTAAGTAATCGTATTTAAAAAAAAGAAAGTGAATATCACATTCTTCCTCTCATTAAAAATATTTAATTAATAAAGTATAAAACAAAATATATATATCTTTCGACAGAAACAATTAATTTAAATCTATTAATTTTGTCTTAATTGTAAATAAAATCTTTCTTGTTCTATGAGGTAATCAAAACTGTCGTGAAATGTTACGGCTAGAGCAAAAATAAATTGAAAGAATAAACTCTAAATAAACAAAAAATAAATTTATCACACCATGTTCAACAGTGTTGTGAATGCTTTTTGATCACGGGTTATAATCTTTCAATTGTTTAATTAAGTATTCTCTATTTGAAATCAGCATTTTCCAGATGACGTTTCTCAGATTTTGTTTGTGATGAAGATAAGAGCGCGTCACAAGAGTTGGAAGCATTTCGTGCAATAATAACGTGAGAAATTCTTCACGTGTTGTACGCGAGATATAAAACCAGCCAATTTTTTTCCATTGCAATAAATATATACCTGGAAATAATACTGATTGACAGAAGTAAGTGGAAGCCAATATTATACCTTTTAGAGTGTTATTATAAAGCTTAAACTTGGGTGACATTTATATCTCTTTTAATTACTCTGCGTTTATTATAATTAATTAAAGATTTATAGTTTTCCCAGAGATGACTAGAGAATGCAACATGGAGCACAAATATGAAATGACCTTTAATAACCTTATTTGACAACTGTCTCTTTTCGATTTGTTGCTTCAACTGTCCTGACATTTCCATGAAGACTCTGCTTCTCAGAGACAATTTTGTCCCAGATTTTGCTATTCTCCTTAAAATAATGAGCGTAACTGTCGGCTTTTTAAGTAAGTTTCAAACATGTCTATGCATATTACTATCAGCATTGAAGGCACTTTGAACTATGAAAAAATTCGATGTTAATATTACTTTAAACATTTTTCTAGGTAATTTAAAATGCAGAAAATTTAAGGCTTTTTATTAGTGAAGTTTTTCAATAAGTAAATTTCTAGCTGATAAATTTAAATAACAAACCTTGTAATACAGAAATATCAGACTTCTGTTTAAATAAAATTAAAAGCTGCGTTATATTGCTAGTGCTATAAATTAGAGCTTTCTGTATTTTAAAATGTCATCATCAGAAATTGATGAATTAGAATTAATTAATGTCATCTCGGTAGACATGATACTGGAAAGTAAAATTTAAATTTCTAATGTCATATCTACTCCAAAAATAGTCTTAATTAGAATTTTTGATGTGTAAGGATTTAGATACAAGCGAACTATTAATACTGGCAGATTTTTAGTATCTCCAAAGCATCATTCAAGTATATTTTTCTGATTTAATTGTAAGAATATAGAGACTTATTACTATTAAATTTCGTAACTTAAAAGAGGCAAAGCTAAGTTATACAAGTGTAATTTCAGCATTCATCGTTCTTGAGCAATTAAACTGAATTCATATGCATTCTATACAAAAGCGAAATAGCTGAAGCAATAAATTGTAAAAATACACCATTAGAAAGGAAAAAATGGGCCTGCCAAATATTCTTTAAGAAGTTATTATGGTATTGTCAAAAGAATGTTCTTTTGACAATACCATAATACTGAACATATATATATATATATGTTCTTTTGACAATACCGTATAGAACATATATATATATATATATATATATAAGCGAATCTATACGTATATATATACATATAGATTCGCTTTTAAACAACAAAATTTATAAAACTATTTAGAACTCGAAACAGGCATTTTGGCTTCTGAAGCTTTCCAGGAACTCAACAGAAATCACAAAACTACGCAGTCTTTATGTGACAAATTTTGATGAAGGTAATAAAAATCAATGAAATCGAACTTTCTTCTTAGAAGATAAAAATAGAACACAATAGCTAACCTGGTGAAAATATAAAACCAAATTTATATTTTAAATGTATTTTAAGATGTCTGAAACTTACACGTAGCAGCTCTTTAAAATTAAAGTTGTTTAAATTATATTTTTGACATTCAGCCAAACTCGGTATTTAAATTTTTTCTGGGAAGAATTATGATAGCGAAAAGGAAATCTATTCGAATAAAACGTAATAGAATGAGTTAAAAAATTAAAAAAAATTGATGATAAATAATTTTTTCGTCAAAAGCGATTAATTTTTTTTCCCCGAGAGGAGATAATTACTTCTGAGAACAAGTGACCGAAATGTTTTTCTTAATCCGGCTTTCAGCGTGATTAGTTAAAAAGCAAACTTAAAATATGTTTTCGTCGTAAATCTTTTCAAATATCTGGTAGTTATTTCTATCTATATATTTAATTCTTTGATTGTGGTTAGGTACAATGAATTGCACAGACACAGAATTTCAAATTATAAAATTATTTTTGATTATACTGGTCAGCGAAAATTTAGTCGCAGAATAAGTAAGACTCATTTTCTATGTTATTTGCATATGCTGATTTCTGATAAGCAATCAGAACTATTTCACACAGTTTTTAGTGTCGTTGCTTCTTAAGATCGTTTCATGGTAAGTAAATGTTTTCTAAGATCAGTAGTATATTAGGGATTGGGACTATTCGACGTGGCCATTTCGCCGTGGCCGTTTCGACGTGGCCGTTTCGAAGTCGGGCCGTTTCGCCGTCGGGCCAGTTTGCCGTCGGGACGTTTCGCTGTCAAGACATATTTTTCTTTACACGACTGTATTATAGCTTCACGTATTAGAATAAGTTGATTTAAATTAATAACTCTGTTTAAACTTAAAATTTAATTTAATTTAACAATCATTTTATATAAAATAATATATAAAATGTTTTTGTGTACAGTTTAATATAAATACACCGTTACGCATGACATATTACTTTTAAGAGAGTAAGATGCTGACAAGATTCCAAAGAAATTCCGTTTTCTATTCAGATTTCATAAAAATGTGAATTTCCTGCTTGTATGATTTCTCTGAACTATCCGATTAAAATTTCAAGAAATTTTGACGACTCATGTAAATATTGTACCCGCATAATTTTAAAATAGATAATATAACTTCTGTTATATCAGAAGTTTACCCCCAGTTCTCTTTGACTAACATAATTTTCCAACTAGCTATGTGTAATATCTTTATATCTCATATTTGTAAATAACTATTTATATTAAAAGCAACCATTTTTAAGTATACAAAAGGTAAACATAATTATTAAACTAAATAAATTCAATACGAGTATAATACGGCAAGATAAATACAGTCATGTAAAGATAAATATATCTTGACGGAGAAACATCCCGACGGCGAAACGTCCCAACAACGAAACGGCCACAAAGTCCTAGACACGTATATTAAACTATACGGGCGAGTATGCTGAATGTTACATTTCAAGAAGCACATCTAGGCCTAGTTCTAAGCTTTGTACATACTCATTTCAGGTTTTTATAGTCTGTTTCCATTTAGCTTTAATTACAAAGGCAAAGTGTAGTATATTTTAATGCCAGATTTTTTATCACACTGCCATCAGAAAATAAACTAATAAAACCTTGAAAATCGTCATACGAAATAGCTAGTATGAAAAACGTTAAGTATATGTGGAGGTTAAAAGAAAATTTCTATTCATGTTTGACAACGAGGCTACCAAAAATACTACTGTTTTTTTTTTTTTTTTTTCAAAATGGGAAAGTAGAGAACGCAATAAAAACAACAGAAAACACTGAGTAAAACAACCATCAAACCAAAAGTTTCATTTGATAATAAGAGTTTTTTTAGGTACTTAAAAGCTCTACCGTTTTTCGTTTCACGTTAAACAAGGATTTAAGACATTTTTAAAGCAATGAATGTGTAATAAACTAATAAAACCTTGAAAATCGTCGTACGAAATAGCCAGTATGGAAAATGTTAAGTATTTATGGAGGTTAATAGAAAATTTCTATTCATATTTGACTACGAGGCTACCAAAACTACTCTTTCCTTTCAAAATGGGAAAGTAGAGAAAGTAATAAAAACAGCAGAAAGCACCGAATAAAACAACCATCAAACCAAAAGTTTTATTTGATCATAAAAGGAGTTCTTTTAGGTACTTAAAAACTCTATCTTCTTTCGTTTCACGTTAAACAAGGATTTAAGACATTTTTGAAGCAATGAATGTGAATGAATAGGGTCGACATACCTGAGAAACAAATTTCATAACAAAATGGTGTTAAAAGTCAAGTATATCTTTATGCTTCCTTAATTAGAAAATAATTTATGGAGCCTGAATTCGATCAGAAGCTGGTCGGTCTTACCAGCGGTTGAGAGGTAAAATCGTTGAATACTGGTACTTCGACCTAGGTTCGAATTCAAACGAACATACTGGGAACATGGGCATTTCATAGTTTTCGCCATGTATAACATGGACATCAGCCAATTTCCCAAACAAAGTTCTCCACGAAGGCAATCCGTTCTTAGGCAGACAGCCCTTGCGAGCTCTGCCGTTATTAATTAAATAAACCACATCGATCAGTGGTTGAAATCAGTTGAAAACTAATTCAGAAGTCAAACAACAAAAATCAGCGTTATACCTACAAAATTTTCACAGGACTAGTTTCGATGGTTTTACCGAACCATCATCTTCAGCTGCAAAACCGCAAATGAACAAGATAGGAAATAATGATTAGATAAGATAAGAAAGCCTGGACAAGAATAAGCAAGTAGCGCCATCTGTTGGCGAAACCAGAACTAAAACATAATTTCTCTAAAAGCCAAAGGCAAATTTGGATTGGAATTAGGATCGTTAACTAGAACAGAAAGATTTTTATGAATGTGAAATGCCTCTAGAAAATCCAGTTCTCCAATGGAAGATGTTTTTTGAATAATTTTGGCAGCAGAAAAATTGAAAGTGTGATTTTCGGACTAACAATGTTGAGAAACAGAAGACCTCTGTGTTTCCTTTTTCTAACATATGCCTCATGTTCTTTGACGCGAAATTTTAAGGCTCTCTTAGTTTGGCCAATGTAAATTAAACCACACTGGCAAGGAATCCTATAAATACCCCAGGAATTCATATCCGGAATGGGGTCCTTGAGTATAGAAGTTGGAATTTTATTGATGGAAGAGAAAAAAAACAACCCGAAAGTTAAATTTCTGCAAAATATGTGCAACTTTATAGCTAATTGATGGAAAGAAGGGAATGACAACAGAATTTTTATAATCTCCTAAAATAAGAGTGTGGCTTTTAGTGTGTTGAGATGAGAATTTTTTAACTGCTTGATTAATAATGTTGGGTGAAAAGCCCCTGTCAATAGCTATTGCTTTTAAATAATTTAGTTCTTCATCAAGGGCTAGTTTGGAGGAGCAAAGTTTGTAAAGTTCAGTTGAAAAGTTTGTACATCAATTTCCCAAAAGTTGTCAGCAGAAATTGTAAGCAAAAGGCTGCTAAATGTTATATGATGATATTCAGAAGTCTCAGGATGTTATGAGATACAACTGCGGGTTTAGAATATGTTTCTTTGAATCACCATCTACATTTCTTCTCTGACAATTTAAAACCGAAAGCCATGAGTATGATGAGAACGTTTAAGGGGAAATTACTAATTTACGAAAGGACATTTTGAAGATTCAATATACTCAGTGACTTCTCTTAGACATGAACATGGACATCAGCATTGTTGGATGACATGCTGTTGCATTGTTGGATTGACATGCATTGTTGGATGCTTGGACAGGAACATGGACATTCAGAACAATTGTTCTTCAGGCTATGTACAGCAGATGCTTGTACACTCAATTTTTTTACTTAGTTTCTTCATCGATCTATTTGCACATTATGCACATTCATACAACATTTAATTAAGTATCATAGCGTGGTTGAAAAATTCCAGTTAGATATTTTAATTCAGCCACGGAAATACGTTTTGATTTCCATACAAGCAATAAGAAAAAATTAAAATTTTCTATTAGATTACAAAATGCACGGTACACTGCAATGAGACCTTATAATTTCGGTGATGCACCTTTAGTTAAATTTTTTCATTACTTCAGCGTTCATCAGAATAACTAAAAATGTTTTTTCTCTAAGAAAGTAATGAGAAATGATTTATTTCGATTTCATAGCTGAGCGTGAAGAATAATAATGAAAAATTGTATTTATATCTTTTTACTTCCTTGTACGAAGTAAAAAGGAAGTATTGTAATCGCGAAAAGTTTCAAGCATCATATTTCAACGAAAATATAAATTTTGACCGCTATCGAATGCAATTTAACGATATTTTTGCGTGACATCCATACAGGACATACGGACAGAATGGACATTGCGTGACATCCGGACAGAATAAAGGACTCTTTTCTCCCAAAAAAAATTATAAAACTGATTTAAAATGAATTCCGAAGAGAAATTTTTATGGCGTCTGTGCGTACGTACGTATGTACGTATCTCGCATAACTCAAAAACGAGTAGCCTCAGAACGTTGAAATTTTGTATATAGGATTGCTATAGCATGTAGATGTGCACCTCGTATTTTGGTTGCAATCGGCCGCACAAAAAGTATATAAATATGTGTATATTTATATCTACTCTTTTACTTGGCTCAGTAATCTCAGTTACTTTTTTCTTATATATTTGTAAATTGTGCATTTTTTGCTTTAAAAATGATTGAATTATGTTGTTCTTATCTTCCGGTTAAGGGTTTTATGCCTTTAGTTAACCTACATGCAATAATTGTGGAATTACCAACAATTTAAAAGTTTTCTTTAAGTGCGGCTAAGCCTAATTTCTGATTAGTATGCCGTCCATGTTAACTTACCATTTAAAACTTACCAGAGTAGTGGATTTGTTGCCAATCTAGAGAAACTAAACTTCCCAACAACAAAGTAATATCTTCTTTTATTTTTGCGAATTAAATTATGCTTAATTCATTATGGAATTAACATTTAAGTTATTAACTTATTTTTATATAGCAACTGTAACTGTAATTGTAAAAATTGTTTTTCAATTGTTTTAACTGTATTTGGTGTTTTATGTTTTTCTGTAGCTGTAAAATTTTAATGAAAATATTTTGAATTTTTATGTATTTTGCCTTGCCGCGAAGTGAGAACTGAATTAATTAGTAGTCCATGTGCATTAGGTAAGCGGCGCTGAATCGTCTGCGAAAAGGTTTTCTTTTTATTTGTTTAATTTCTTTTATATATCGTTTTTTGATTTATTACAGTATTTGAATTTTATTATAGTATTTGAATAGAACTTATGGAAATTCTTCAGATGATATAATTTTTGTGATCTCTGAGTTTTAAATTGAATGTTAATGCTGTTCAGTGAACGTAGCACCGAAGTGTCGCTATAGTAAACAAATATAGTAAACTTTAAAAGAGCACATTTATTCTATTGTGGTCTAAGCACTATCGACGAAGAATATTTAATTCAAAATTCGTTACCTGTTAATTCAATATGTTTAAATGAATGTGGGAAAATTGCGTATAATTTAATATTCCATACAAGGAAGTCATGTGGTGTACACATCAGATTTTTTATATAAGTCTCCGAAACCTATCAGCTACAGTCATAATTAACAGTGCTCTCGTTATTGATTCTTATTGCAAGAGTTATAAGGTATTTCTCCGGTCTTCTTAGCATGCTTTCGTGGTGCAATGACCAGCATATTCGGCTTGTATTCCAGAGGTCCGTGGTTCGAGTCCCGGCGAGGACATTCCTCTTTTTTCATCTCTCTCGCGCTTTAAAAAAATAGCTAATAGTCTCTGCAGGGGCACCCGAACTAAAAACAAAAGGTGGTGGATGATGATTCTCCACCACCAGGATTTGGCGATTAGGTCCCTTAAACCCCAGTCTCCCTTTAAAAGTGGGAGTATATAAGATATTTCTCCCGCCTTCTTAGCATGCCTTCGTCGGGCTAAAGGTTCTTCGTTCAGCCCATTTGGTGCGTATTCGAAAGGTCCGAGGTTCGTATCCCGGCAAGGGCATTGCTCATTTCTCATGTCCCCTGCTTCGAAATAACCTAATGTCTCTACAGAGATTGGTTCCTAATTCAGATACTATAAATCTTGAGTAATAAGGTACACGCCTTTTTTTTTTCAAATAGAAACGTGATAAATAAGCCATTGATCATATAGCCCCTTTACAGAGCCACAACTTTACACTATCAGAAGATTCCGAAAACTTTTCTAATGAACCAGGTTTTATTCAAGTAGTTTTCTTTAGTTATCGCATATTTTAAATGCAAGTCAAATGCATTTTGGAAATTCAGTAACATTAATAACAACCTCTTTAGCTTTGTGAAAGAATTGGAAACCATCATTTGATCAACAGCTGGTTTTACTTTTGTCACCAAAAAAAAAAAAAAAAAAACAAATCTTCACAATAACAGCAATGGCAAACATATGCCATAATTTATCTGTACTAAAACGCGTGCTACACTGCGCTGGTTCCTAAACATTTGTTGACTAATAAAATTCGTACAAATAATGTGCGCTAAATATCCTATGCAAGTACAGGGATTCAAAAGGTATTTATCTTTCAATAATGTTTGAAAACGTAAACATTTCTGTCTAACGTTCACGATGATATTTTGCTTATTCTAAACAATCAAAATATCTACCACGGTTTCTGGAAAGATTTAATTACCTTTACGTACGTTATTGCGTGAACTGTAGAAATTGTTGCATATTTCGACTAATAGCTATCGATCCTTTCATGTGTTAAAAGGATTATAGTATTTTAAAGGCAATAAATATGTTGGAATAATGCTTTTAGAGCTGCAAAATAAAGGGAAAAAAAAGAAAGCGCCATCAACGTATTTAAAATTACTAAAAATGGAAAACAGGGTTTGACGTAAATTTTGAATAAACTCTATTCATTTTGAGAGCGATCAAACACAGGTCCCGCTTCTTCAAGAGTAAACAAATTAAATCTAAAGAAGCAGAATTCCTTTTGCTCTGGCGTCTGATCACCTTCGAAATCTATTAAGTTTTATTCAAAATATATGCCAAAATAAGGCTGCTGTTTTGCCTGATTTTAAAAACAGTCAGAGACAGAATTCACAGAAAAAATGTTGACGACTCAAGTACCGTAGGGCAGTGGTTTTAAACTCAGTTTGCATGCGATCTGAAAGCAACTGACGGACCGGAATTTTTTTTAACAAAATGAACATTTTTTATCAACAAATTAAAAAATATTTTAACTTTCAGATTTGGCTTACTGAAAATTTATCAAAGCATACATAAATAATAATAATAATAACATATAGAAAAAAATTGTAAATTTACACTTATTTTCTATCTGATATCTACTGCTTGGTACCTGCAAGACACGTTTTGGTTACACTTTGTAATTCAAACTTGCTAACAACTAAACATTAATATTTCAGTTTGACGTTTATTTCGAATAATTCTTAAATGTTTAATTGATCATTAAATAACTTACTTTAGCGGAAACCAAAGATAAACATATTATAAAACCATTTGAAGCTTTCAGAGACAACTCTCCATGTGGGTCTCTTTCTCTTATGTATTAAATTTTGTTCCACACGTAAATAAAAATGCATATGCTTGTATGTAAATTATTATAAATTTCTTTCCTTATTAATTTTCATTCGTCATATATATATATACTCACAAACAAAGCGGTCATTCTTAATATAAAAATTTGTAAATCAGCTTGTTTATTTGTTTATTTTGACAAACACGAATAGAATTAATCAAATCCATATCTTTAAATTTTTATTAATATTCATAGCACAATGTAAATGAATTAGCTCCATTTATAGATTTTTCAGTTACGTAATTCATGATCGTTTTTAATTCCAAGGAAAATAATCTAAACTCGGGTTGAAAATAACTAAAATCTTGAAATCTTTACAAAGCTGTAATTGAAACATGTATTCGCGGGCCACATAGAAGTGCTTCGAGTGTCGTTTTCGGCTCGCAGACCTCCAGTTATACCTGCAAGGTATAGTTTCGAAACTTATATATTTCATTACATAAGAAAACTGTTTTAATATAAAAGTAAATTTTTCTGCATAAGAAAAAATGTTTTTGTTTTAATTTGCAGGAAATCATTAGTTTAAAAACAAGTTATGAGAACAACGATTTTTGTTTTTGTTTTAATATTCGCAACATGCCAATGTCAAACAAGTGTGTGCCCTTCGAAAGAGGAAACAAAACCATGTATCTGCAGATTAGGAAAAGGAAGCAAAGCATGGATGTCTTGCAAAGGGCTTACGTCAGCAGATGAACTCCGTGAAGCAGTCAAAGGCATGAAAGGTTTCAAATTCTCTACATTTTACATAGAAGATTCCGATATAGGTATTTTACCAGCAGATATTTTCAGAGACATTGATATTCAAGTTTTAAGCATACAGTTCACAAATCTTACAAGCCTTAGCGAGAGTGTGAACCGTCCTCCTTTCCTTGGCTTGGAAAATTCCTTAGAATCTATTGAAATCAGAGATGGCTTCGTCGATGAAAACGCACCATTGACGAAGTTTTCAATATCACATTTAAAAAAAGTATATTTTGTCCATCTTGAAGGCAACATAATTCCCGTCATTGGAAATGACTGGTTTGAAAGTGGACCTTATGGTTTGAGAGAATTATATCTCTTCGACACTAGTGTAACTAAAATCGGAAGCCATGCATTTGAAGCCCTGGAGGACATCCGAAAATTATCCATCACGGGAGGAAAATTTTCCGAAATTGCAAGGACTATGTTTCCTAAACCTGCTCTCTTCCTCGAAGTCTTGGATTTGAGGTAATATTTTAAAATTTTGCATTATTTCATTCCGCGTAATTTTTTAAAATTAACGTCATTTTCTCAATTAAATTATGCGCACAGTTTTAATATTTCAGGCATGAAATTTCATATATATTGAAAGAATTGTTCTACGAAGTAACTATGAATCCTGAGTCATGCTTCTAAGGAAATGTAAATTTAAAATGATTTGACTACACTTTAATTTATAAGATGGAATACCGATCTATGAATAAATTATTTAAAACTTTTGCTTAATTTCAAAATTTAAGCAAAAATAATCAGAATATGAATGCCATGTGACTGTTAAAGCTTTCTTTCTTTTGATAAACAAGCGTATTTTCAATGCAACTAAAAATTTTATCCTGATTTTAGATATTTGTTAAGAAGTTGTAAGAGAAACTTAGACATTTCGTTTCTTTCTGAATACCTATTTTTAATTCCCAGCTACTGTCACTAGAATATATCGTATAAACCATATTTTACTTTCAAAAGCTTTTATGTTTACAAATCACACAGTTATTAAATATAATAAATTTATAATATTTAACTACCAATAACTCATACTATACGGTTTCATTTATTTTTACTAATAGTTATTTTATTATGTCTATCTATAATAATTTTTTTACCTTCTCGTATTCCCCATGCGTTTCCTCGCCAAGATGAAAATTACGTAGGGGGAACGAGTTTATTTAAACTGATGTAGCGAAAAGTTTGGTCAGAGCGATATTGTGAGCGTATGTTGCTATTTTTTACAGCTGTTAACCTTGAATATCGGCTTCGCATTTTTGCCGCCTAGTTAATATCCTGCTAGTGTAGGTTCTGAGTCAACCTGATAGATTAAACTGAATTAAGTAGGTTTATACCACTCTTACCTTTAATTATAGTATTACGTATCTTTTAAGCGCCTGAAGTGTCTGAAATCACGTAAGTCCGTGCCGTCTTGTAAACTAGTATATTCTGTTCAATAAAAGGGTCTAAGGTGTCTAAATAACAGGATCTAAATAAATATAAATAAATCTAATAAAAGGTCAAATATAATAAATTTAATAAATCTAAATCTAATAAAAGGGTCTCAAAAAAGGGTCCGGGGGGAACGATGTAAACATCCTTCCCCTAGGTTACGTTCACTTTCAAGCTCTTCGGGAAATCGCAAGAATCAACGCTTAGGTAGATTTAGTTACATTTTATGATAGCGAAAAGAACTAAATCCCACAATACCGTGCAATATAATAATTATGCGGTGAAGTAAGAGTTCTAAAACAAAGAATAATCTGGAACTTAACAGTTTAAGAGAAAGAGATATTATTCGTAATCAGTTCTTTAAATACATAATTTTCCTTTTTTATATCGGCCCACCAGCGGCCGAGCGGTAAAGTCGCTGAACGCTAGTAGTTCGGTCCGATGTTCGAATCCCGCGAACGGGCTGGCTGCATGGGTGTTTTCGTGGTTTTCCCCATGTGTAACGTGTATACGAGCCAGTTTCCCTTAGAAAGTCCTCCACGAAAGGCATCCCTCCTCTTAGGCAGATAGCCCTAGTGTGCTTTGCCATAATTAAATACACACACACACACCTTTTTTTATATCGAGATAAGAAGTGAATATTATATTCTTTTGATATCTCAATATGTTGCCTACAGAATAAATTGTATTTAATTATTAAGCAAATTATATTTAATTACAAAAATTGTTTAAACTTGAAAAGATTGCATTGAAATACAAACGTGCATTGAAAACCGTTAAAATGTTGAATGAAATTTCGTAATCGAAAACAACATTGTAAATTTAAAAAAAATATGTGTTTATTACAGGCTTATAACAGGTAATTAGTTAACCCAAGAGTAACAAAAGTCACTAGCAAAGAAATTATGCAAAAAAAAAATCAAATTGCTTAACATGTGTTCGTACTGAAGACAATCAGACAACAGTCAACAACAGAAATCAGACTAACAAAGATTAGTACAATATACAATATGAATGAAGTTTCACACTATGTCAAAGTAGCTGGGAACCATTCAAAGACAACAGTTGTCATTTTATAAAATAATAATGTATCTGAGAGTAAGGTAGAAAATCGGCTGAGATAGGGTGAGTCACTGCGTTGCAAAACCCGAAGCACTCATGTTTAACTTTCTAATTAAGTTTAGCTGCTACTATATTATTTGAGGTATTATAGCTATAAAATGAAATCACGGAAAGCAACTTTTTCCCTATTTAGAGCAGTGGTGGCGAACCTTTTTGGAGCCGCGTGCCCAAAACCTTTTTTTTTTTTTTTTTTGAGGGGGGAGGGGGATTTAATCTCTTTGATGGGGATTTAATAGAGATTAAATCCCCATCAGGAAGCGGTTTACCATGTTTGGCCAGAAAAAGTGAAATTTGAAAGCTGGTTGTTGTTAGATGGTTTGTTTTAGAAAGATAATTCCAAAAAACAACTTTCTGGTAATTATAATTCCTCAACTTCCCTTCAATAAACACCTTCCGTTTAACTTCATCAAATTCGGCAACAATTTTGTGGTTGGTGTCGTCTGACACAGGATGTGCGACACACAGCACTTTCCCAGCACATTAATGCTTTTCTGTAGTGTTCAATAACTCCAAATGATTCTGTCCAGGTCTCTTGAAATTATGTTCCACTATCAATGTTTAATTTTGACTTTTTTTGCTGGAGTCATTTGTGAGGGTTCAAGACCTGGAGTATAGAAAATATATTTAACAATGAAAGTATTAAATCTCACCGGCAGCCTGCAATAAATTTGAATTCGTTTAACAAACATTAGGTGCTTCAACTTTGGCGTATTTTTGGCCATGTAAAAAGTAATATGATTGGCCAAAACAATTGAAACGTTATAAATTGAAACGTTAAAAACGTATATATATTTATATAATAATAAATATGTATATCATTTCTATGGAGATATATGAAAATTTTATATCTAGGCTTAGGCCCTATGACAGTGGCATTATGCGATAATTAAGTGAAACGTTCAAGAACAGACTAAAACACTTATTTAAATTACATAGTATCATTTTATTGTGATTATTAAGGAAGTAATATTTTAGTCGAGTGCCGGCTGATGAAACTCTGCGTGCTGACTGTGGCACGTGTGCCATAGGTTCGTCATCACTGAGTTAGAGCAGCATTCATGTAGATATGTATAGGGTTCTACTAGCTCTAGAAGATTAACTCAAAATCCTTTAGACCCTACTAGAATGAAAAGCGAATTGTCGCTTTAGTCTGAAGCAATGACAATAACATATAATGTTAAAATAACGTTTTTTTATTTAACTCATTAAATTAACGGAAGACACTAGCTATAGATGAACCTCCGCTACTTTGCAGGTATTTAAAATAATAAAAAAATGAAGTCAAACTCAAATTTAGTTAGCACACTCGGATACTACACACAGAATAGATTACTTAAGCGGGCTTAAGTAATTAACGGCGAGTATTTAAACGTCGGCTAGCAAGGTGGCTAAAGCCGTAATAACTTTGGCGATAATACGAAATTGCAGTGCGAAACTGCCAGAAACTCCAACTCTAAAACATTAAAAACACTCGGCTTATATACGCAACAATTAATTTGCATTCTGGTGGGGACTGGGGAAAGAAGTAAAGGTTTAAATTATAATACTAACATAAAATCTTACTAGTTTTTTTATCTTATTACAACTTGACTACAATGTCTTTTATCAACCCAGACATAATAATAAATAATTTTTCATAGAACGTGATAGATTTCTCTCTTCTTCAGATCAGCAAAAAACAAATGAAAAATGAATTTTAAACTGCAAGAAGTTTGATCACTGTAACGAAATGTAATCTCAAACTTTATGCATGCAATCCTGTTTTGTGAATAATAAATATTCAAAGAATTGTTTTCAAAGAATTTAGATGACATCTTTGTTATAATGCAGATTCATTTTTACATAAAATGTTTTAGCTGTTAAACGAATAAGTTACACTCTCTGGCAAAAGCTGTTATGTCAATAAATAGTAAAATGGATCCATGAATGCAACTTTAACACGAGTGAATTTGAATGAATGAATGAATATGAACACCAGTTAACACGAATGAATGGACCTTCAATAAGAATATTATCCTCCTCGTGAGCGTAAATGTTAACTGATTAATTTACAAATAATTTAAATTCATAGATTTTAATGCTCAATGTAAGCAGTTCATTTAGACTTAATTTTGTTATTCTCACCCACAGTTCAATATTAAAAATTCCAGACTATTAATAATAGTATTTCATTTACTATTCCCATTAGATGAGTTTCCACTAAATATCCTATCAGCAACCTCTCTAGTGGCCTTTTGGCTAGCTGTGTATTTTGAGCGCTTCCTTGCCACACAGACATCATACGCTTAACACTGTACACATAGACACTACATGCTTAACATAATTTTATAAATTAAAATGAAGGACTATGGTATTTTATTTGCCTATATCTCTATAATTTTCTGCTAATTCCATGCAAGATTTAGTTAATTGTATTTAAACTTCCAAAGTTTTTCTATTTTTTAATGAAATAAAACAATTTAGCAAATTATAGGTTTCTGCTAAATTGTCATCATCAGTAATATATTTGTCAATTATAAAAATTAATGGAAGTTTCAAACATTTTCTTTCTTTTCTAGCAATAATGCCCTTAGAACACTTTCAAATGACCTATTTACTCATATGCCAGCTTTAGAAGAGGTATATCTAGACAATAATGTTTTGACGAGCTTGAATGAGGTTACTTGGACACCAGTTTGGAGTCAAATTAATTTTGCTAATTTTTACGGTAAGTTCTAGGCATTCACTTTCTAGCAAGGTGTTTCCTTACTGATAAGAGAAGTTATGCAGAAAGGAAATTGTTTTTTGAAACCGATATTCGCATCCGTAATTATCCTTTTCTGAATTTTTTAAAAATATGTAATTACTAATATTATTCCAAATAAAATTAATCTCTTAATAAAAAGCATTATATTTGTACTTCAACACATTTTTATGAGTAATATTGTTAAGGGTAAAAGGCCATGTATCAAGTACAATCGTTTTGAAGCACTTAACTTTGCACAGATTCTTTTCCTCAAAAATATTTTTGTCGTTTTTATCTTTGCTTTAAAGATTTATAGGGTTTTTTAGACTTAAATATGTTGACGTAATATTTATTCTTATACTTTTAGTATAATTTCGTTTTATAACTATGTAAATACAAGTTTTAAAAATAGTCAAGCAGTAATTTCATTTACTAAAGCTCAAGTTTTTACAGTTTTTAATCCGCAATTTAAAGTTATCCTTAGAAAGAGGAGAGGTATTCCCCAAATAAGTTGTAAAAGGTTTTGTTAAGCCTCTAATATTTCTAACTGTTTCTTAACGTGTAAATTCCTGTGAACGATGAACTACCTTTTACTTTTATTTTCGAAAGCAAACTGATGAAACTGAGAAAGTGGTGCATGCGAAAAAGAACGAATCGCTGAAATTATTTTTAAATGCTTTTTATATTTTGTATCTGCTTTCACTGAAAGACGAGATGGCATCGAAATCAAGTTCGATGCGTGCTTAATTGCCTGAATAAGTTAATTAATTCGATTAATATTTTTAGATGATTTTTAGATGTTAAGAGCATTATTCTCTTAACAAGCGAAGAGTCATGCAAGTTTCTACATCTCCGTGGCTTTTATATGCGTTTGAATGTTTCATGGTATGTACATTACACGGTATACAACATAGTTTTATTGAGCATTTCTTCTTACATTTTGTCCAGTCTGTTAGTCCGTAAAATGGTGGAAATGAAGGTACGTAGATAATATATGAAGTAGGTATTTTATTATTAGACTTATTTTAGGAAAACAAAAGCATCAAAAATCAATTGCGACTTCCCTAGAGTTAGAACCACGAATATTCAATTTATTAATTGGATGTATTAACCACATATACCACAAGAATACTCTTGGGGATATGCGGTAATTCCTTACATTCTTCCACATTTAAAGGGAAACTGGAAGAGGCATGTGTCCTTGTGGACCGAAGCCAGCGCACAACAAATTATTGTTTGGCACATTTTTAGTTCGGCGGAATTTTTAGTTCTGTAAGAACTTTAAGGTTTTCGGAGCCGGGAAGTGTTAAATCCTCCATTGTTAGGCAGATGTATCAACTACTTACCCTTAAATTGGATTATTTAGATTATGGCAGAGCATGAGAAGGCCATCTGTTGAAGGGGAAGGATGCCTGAAAGACCTTTAAGGGAACTATGGGCTTCATTTTTATAAATCTGACTGATGGTGTGCAATGTATTTTTCTAACGAAAATCATAAATTTTCGCGTAATTATATAAATTATTTTATGCTTTCTATGCTTGCTAAAAGCTTTTTTGCCATAAATTTAGACCAAAAAGAAGCAGGAAAAAATTATGGAAAAAATATAACCCCAGCTTACTTTCCGTTACATTATTCTGGGATTTTAAAAGTGCTTACAGTGGAGGAAATTATGAAGTACTTGTGAATGTTATCAAACACGTTAGCCGCAATAAGAAAACTTTCAAATAATGGATGTTTAATGTAAACGACAGTAACATTAACTAACAACAAACAAACAAAAACAAAACAAACAAGAAGTCTGAAAGGATTCAGATTTTAACGGTCACCCAAAAGGTCTGCTTTAAATTTTAACATCAGTAGAGATGACCCAGGTGAAAAAGAGAAACATTTTATAAGGTATTAGATGAATATACATTTAGACTAACATGGGAGCGTTATATATCCTCGGTATATTTGAAAAGTGAAAAAATATATGTAACGTAGTTCTGTAAAAATATTTAATGTTTTTTTAATTAAATATATCATGAGTTAAATGCATTTTTATTTAAATCAATCAGATTAAAAAGAAAAAATATAATTTTCTTAAGAAATGCATCTATTGCTTTTAAATCTCTTAGTTTGTTAATTATTAACACACAGATTAAATCTGAAGGATACATTTTGGTAAATAGCAACAGAGTCGAAAGAAACGTGAAGCCAACGCAAAATCGCGTTTTGAAGCTAATAACCCTTTTGGCCTAGCAAGAGAAGACTATTTTATGTTACCTGCGTAATATGTCAGTGAATTCTGACATTTTATTTTGTGTCATGATTAACAGCACTACCTTGGACTGGTTGTAAGAACTGAAGATAAATTCTATCGAGAAGAATATTTTGTGCGCTGAGGCAAGTTGAAGGATTGATTATACTTCAAAGCAAAACATTAATTTCCATCAATATGAAACACATGGTGTGTATTTCAAGCATCAGAACCCTTGCATTCGTTCAAGTAAATGAGAAATGTGTGTATAATTTTAAAAGAGTGAAAAATTACGTAAAATTAATTTTTAAACATCTCGAAGAGGTACTTATTGTTTTCAGTTAGCGGATTTCGTGGCCTCGCAGAATAATATGAATTGCCACTTCAGTGAATTCAGAAAAGGGGATTTACTTCCATGATGAAATCCATCCACGGACAACGAAACCTGTTCTAACAATCTTCCTTCGTCATTTGAAATCATTAACATAAACAAAATCGGTTAATTTTGAAACATCATAAATAATAACAAACTTTATTAGAAAGCGGCATGCTAAAACACATTTAATTTTTCTTTTCTTAAAAGTGTGGCGTAAGAATCTGAAGGGGTGCTAAAATTTACAATAGATGGGGAGGGAAGGGGTGGATATGTATTTGGTTATGGCAAAGCACACTAGGGCAATCTGCCGAAGGCTATCTGCCGAAGGGGAGGGATGCCTTCGTGGAGGACTTTCTAAGGGAAACTGGCTCGTATACACGTTACACATGGGGAAAACCACGAAAATGCCCATGCAGCCAGCCCGTTCGCGGAATTCGAACCTCGGACCAAGCTACCCGTGTTCAGCGACTTTACCGGTCCGCCGCTGGTGGGCGGAGGGGAATAGGAAAAAACTCATTATATTCTTTTTCCTTTGAGGATGAGAATAATGTAAGTAAATCTCACTTCCTCTTTTATTGTGTTTGCGTATTTTATTACTTTAAATAATATGTATTGTTTTGTTATTTGCCTTTTCTGAGTTTGCTCAGTTGTTTCCTCCATTCTGAGTTATCGTTTGGAGAATGTTTTGAGTGAAGGTGTTATTAATGATTCTCTGTTGTAAAGAACCCACGGTTCTAAAAGTAATATTTTAAAAGTGGAATATCCTTATTCATATTTTAGGAAAAGCTTTCATTCTACTGAAACTGCTTTTATAAGTAAATTAAAGCCGAATATACAGCTTTGAGTCAACCAACCTGGAATGTTGAAGAATTTTCGTTTGTATCGCTGTTTAGTTCACTATCTAATATAATACTCTTTGGACACTACGATACATGAGATTGAATTACTGTGTAGTTTTCTATCTGATATAGTACTCTTTGGACTCTACGATATATGAGGTTTTTTCTCTGCATATTTGCAAGGCTAATGCACATTTTCCTAACCGTTCTACAAGTTCTTAAAATAAATTCATATGATAAAAGTACTTACAAACATAAAGCGGAATAAAAGGGAAAATACACTAAGTTTGGTTTCTATAACAAAGAACAGGATTATCATTATTGATCAGTTGTAGAGTCATTAGGTTTCTTGGTGCTGGAGACATGTGCAATGCCCTCACGGGAATTCGAAATCTAGGCCTGCCAAATACGCGTTGAGCGGCCTTCCAGTTACACCACGAAGGCATGGGTAAAAAGGGAGAAAATACCTCATATACCCCTTTAAAGGGCAACTATCGATGACGGCAGCCAATCGCCAAATCCTGGTGGTGACGCATTATCGTCCACCGCCTTTTAATTCGGATGCTTCTGGGAGTCATTAGGATTTTTAATGCAAGAGACGAAACATTATGCACTGCCCTCGCCGGGATTCGAACTCTGGACCTCCCGAATACTCGTCGAACGTGATTCTAGTTACACCACGAAGGCATACGGAAAGAGGGAGAAAATATCTTATGTAATTAGTATAATAATTTTCTCTGTTTGTTAATTTTTTTTCAGTAATCTGTTAATGTAATGAGAAACATGGCATTAATTTTTTTTTTAATTTAAAAGATATAGTCGGTGAAGAGGGCTTGTTTTTATTACCCAGTAACATACGGAATACGGCGCACGAAATGCCACCGAATGTTTAGCTGAATTAGAGTTCAGGCAGCCTTGCGTTGCAATTATGTATTATCGTCAGCTTTGCCAAAGTTGTTCCGGCTTTAGCCACTTTGCTAGCCGACGTTTAAATACTCACCATAATTACTTGAGCCAGCTTAAGCGGTCTTTTTCGTAAAGTCTCTGAAACGTTGCTTAAATCTGAATTTAACTTCGTCTTATGGTATTTTAAATACACACAAGTAGTACGTTCTGTTAATTTGAAGATTTCAATAAAACGGTTATTTTAATCTTTCTAAGAATTTGTCGTTTGAATTCAGTTTGGAACGATAATTCGTTTGTGAGTCTTGTAGGAGCTAAAGAAATGTGAGTTAAACTTTTCTACAAGCAGGTTAAACTTCTACTGCAATTTGAAATTTGACATATTTTTTGAAGAAATGTAAAAACGTTTGGTGATGACTCAAGGAAGTTTTCGTGCATACTTTTGGTAGAAGATATGTTTTTTGCAAGCAGACCATTCAAATATTGTAACAGTAATTGAAAGCTACTGGGTCTCTGTAGAAGAGAAATCGATGCCGCCCATACATACACTTGAAAATGACTACAGGTTTCCTTTTACACACTCAGTGGTTCGTGCAAAATGAAGCTAGATCACACATTGCAAATGTGTTCTTGTCTTTCTGTATGGTATGTTTAAAATTAGCGTAATGTCACATCCGTGTCCTGGAGAATGTGAAGGTGGGAGACAGCGAATCCGCATAGCCTGGATATTACACCATGTGAAATGGGCGTTTTTGAAAAATAATGCATTCGCAAGAATGTAGTACAATTCAACGTTCTTGTGGTGCAATTGTGTCGTGCAATTTTGGAAGACATATGGAGGAGGGTTGAGACAAATGAAAGGGTCCGCTTGCAAGAGATTGTAAAACAGAAGGTTGGACACATTGAACACATTCTGCATTTAACTCACTTTCACTTCATTCACTTCACTTTATGGATTCATTTTGTAATATTTTGATGATAACTACATATACCATAAACAAAATAAAGGCTGTGACTTTTCATGCGCCATCATGTACTTTCTGAAAGCAAACAGCGGTTTATTTTTTTTATTTATATGCACGTCTATGTATGTTTGTGATGTAGTATGATAATATACTAATATCAGAGAGAGATATAGTATGATAACATATCAGTTTGTGATATAGTATACTAACATAATCAATAACATTTGTTTCAGGTAATCCTATCAAATGCGACCAGGATTTGAAATGGATTTATAAATACCGTCTGCCAGAATCTTTTCAAGGCCAATGTAGTTCTCCACCAGAACTTAAAGGTCGAAGTCTTTCGAACCTCACATTAGCCGATTTTTCTTAAGGTCTTCTTGGGAGGAAGGTATTTTAAAGAAGTGATCAACTTTCGATGGAAACGTCACATACTTCTGTTTTAGATGAGAACTGTTCATTGAGAAATTATAACGTCCTTATTTTTTCTCTGCGTGTATGTATGTATTAGAAACGTTTTCGAAAGCATCGTATATTATCATTACTATTTTATGGCGTTTTATATACTTTAACTGATTTGATTACCTGTTCGTTAAGAAACATGTAACATCCTTATTTTTAGCTCTGTATAGCTCTGTGTACTTTATTTTTATATATGTATTATTCTTTTTACTTTTTTTTAAATGTACATTTTAAATGCATACCATTACAAATTTTAAACGTATTTCAAGTTTGTTACAAGCTTTTAGTAGTTTCAAAGCAGTCATCTTAAATATTAACATTTCTTAATTTCAGTTTACAATAGTTTTATATTTTCTTTCCTAGGAGATAATAATAAACATAAAATTACTAAATAAATTAATATATATATATATTATAAAGTAAGTTTCAAAAACATCATATATTATCATCGCTGTTTAACGGTGCTTTAGATATTTAACTAAGGGGTTCTCAACCTGAGGGGAATTTCACCCTGGGATAATTTCATAGTTTCAAAGAGGGAATGTAGTTCCAACTTTATTTGCCTATTAAGTTTTTAGTTTATGAACATAAAAAACTTTTTGAGTCTTACTTATTCTTTTATTTAAAAAAAACCTTTTTATTTTCTTTATTTTTTATAAGCTTTTTATTTGTTTTGGTATTTATCAACATTTTCAATTCTTTTTCTTGATTAATTTGTAAAACATACTTAAAAAATAATCTAAATTTAAATAAATGTGTACTTATTTTTAGAGTTTGGGAAAGTAAGAGGGGTAAATGATCGTTTAGCAATGGTCAAAAGGGTGCATAGGGCAAAAAAGGTTGAGAGCCACTGTTTTAACTATGCAAGTGCACTTCCGCACATTTAGACTAGTTTATTGATAAAATGATTTGTTCTTTATACGCATGGAAAATGTGATGTTAAGATTTTACCCTAAATGTATGCATCTGTCTTATATTTTGCTATATGTCTGTTTTTTGTGTATCAGTTTTTACTTGATTAAAATATATATGGGAAATATGTATGATTTTTATTTACGAAAGATAACAGCATAAAATTTTAATTTAATGTACTCTGTAGTATGCTTGGAAGTGCACGGAAGGAAATTTTTATCAATTTATTGCCAATTTTTACAAACAACATGTCTGAAGTGACTGGCAGCAAAAGTAATGAAAGTAAAAATGATAAGGTGGGAATCGCTATGTAGTCATTTATAGATGACAATCCTCTAAATTATACAAATGTAATTTATTCCAAATACATCTGACTTTCTGCTTTCTGGCAGATTTTGCAAAGACCTGACAAACGCTACCGAAAATCAGAGACAATCTGATATGCTGAATACGTGTAGCAGTAACAATATGGTGTGTATTTTTTATGATTTAGAATACAGCTATGGAATGAGTTGTGGGAAAGAATATTATTGTTAAGCCATACGTAGAAAACAGTGCTCTGGCTTACGAATGAATTAACAAATGTGTTGAAAATTAAAGAAAGTATTTGAATACATTGAATTTGTTTCGCTTAACATAGGCAGATATTCTGAATAATATCCTATTCTGAGTAACCCTTACTAATTACTTGAAGAAAATACTGGGTAACTATACATACATTTCGAAACTAGCCACTTCCAATGGTACTTTGAGAGTAAATAAATTAACAAGCCCTTTTTTCTAAAGTATTAAAAAATTAAGAAAGGAAGATGGTGATTTTCATAAAGGGCATGTATTCGGTTATTCAAATGTTAGTGCAGAATGTTTCTCTTCGACTAGAGATTAAAGTAAGACACAATTTTAATTTAAGATTTATATCACTATTCCTGAAGTTTTACTTTACAAATAATCTTATTAGTTTCTAATGTCTTCTCATTTTCTTTTCGCGACACAATCCCGCGCGTGATTAAATATGAACGAAGAATTTTTATATACTTCTGCGTCAAACTGCAAATCGTCTAGTTAGCGAAATATGAGTTTTCGCTGTAATTGTCTACGTATATTACTCACTCATTAGTTTAAAATTAAGTAAATAATCTCAAGAACTAATGAAATAGGTAATAGAATTTTAAACTTTTATTCAGGTTTCAAACAAAATGCATGACTGGTGTTTAGAGATAGCAGAACGATCATAACGCAGAATTTATATATATATATATATATATATATATATATATAAATGTTGTATGATTTAAATCCATTTAGTGCGAAAACAAGTTATTACTACTTGCGCAATTGCTGCAAAGTTAGTTAATAATAATTAATCAATACTGTTTAGGAAATAAATTATATATATATATATATATATAGGAGTTAACAATTAATTTGTTTGCGCTTCCGAAGTGATTGACTCATTATACGCATCATTAATTTTTCTGCGATGCACCAAAACTTGTTGTCCAGGCCGATGTGATTTACTTCTTGTATCTATATTCATCGAGAAATCTGGAGACCAAATTCAGAAATTTAGACAATTTCGCGATTTAAGCAAACTTAAGTCCTAAAATATTTAACTCTTTGATTGAAGAAAGTATTCGTTTACCCGAGTCAAAAGTATTTAATTAGCTTTACCATAAAGTTTTCTTGTATATACAATTTGTGAGGATAAGGCAACGTCAGTTCCTTTACTGTGTTGATAATAATTCGGAAACAGTGTACTAAAAAAACTAAAAAAATCATTATCTCTGTGAATAATTTCTATCATAATTCTGATTATAAATATTGGTTCGAAAGATTAATTTGTTGTGAAGCAAAATAGTAATGCATTTCTTTTGAAAATGGGCAGATTGCGTGCAAATCATCACAAAAATTCAGAAATACTTTTCTCGTTAAATATGTACCTGAGCTTAGCAGGGCGAGTTGCAAGCTTCAAAAATTTTAACTTTGTTGATAAATGTTATAAACTAATTGTTATTCATGTCTCTATTTGTAATTCTTTCATAACGTGAAGAGATGGATTTGTTATTATTTCTTCTAAATATCTATTAATTAAGTTGAAATATTCTGCATTTGTCTTCCTATTAGGTCCTTGCTCCACATCTACAAAGATGTAACTCAGAAAGTAGTTATTTAAAATAACTTCACATTTTAGCAGTAATAACCAACTTATAAAATCCGCAGTGGATATTTATAGTACTGCTTTCACTGCGGTATAAGGTAATGTATAAATGAAATGCAGATCAGCTTCTAGATGCGTGATGTAATATAAATTCGAATTAGCAGAATGTAACGCAGCAGAAACAGTCACACATTTGTTAGGTAACTAATTTAGTATGTTTTTAATTTCTGCATATTTGGACTAGAACCCATAATTTTCAATCTGGAAATCGGCACACTAAAAGTTAATTTTCTGAATGCCGCATCTAGCTTCTGATAATTTCAGCTTTAGTGAAGTACTTGAAAATGAACCTACTTGCGTATGACCCGAATATTTGTGCTCATGTTGACTTATATTTAGTGTATATAAGTTTACGCGTTGTGTAAATAAAGCAATGAGACTGGTTCTTTATAATCTTTTATTCAAATGCAATTACAGTCTCACATAATCTCCTTCAAATTAATATCCTTAGAAAGCCACACAGTGACGGAGGCTATTTTTTGACTCTCAGAGCACTGCTGAAACTCGGGTACTGAAATAGTCTTTACTTGGTCGGTTACTGCCATTTTAATACTTTTCGTGTCCCAAAATGATGTCCTTTGAGGCGGAGTTTCAATCTTGAGAATAGAAAAAAAGTCGTATGGACTTAAGTTAGGGATCAAGGGAGATGAGGAGACACAGTGATGTTTTAACTTGACAAAAACTCATTAATTGAAAATACAGTGTGAAGAGGCACATTATCGTTATGTAACACTCAGTTGGTGTTGACACTTGGTCTCACATACATACCTCTTTTTTCGAAATTTTTCAAGAGATTCACGGTAAAATTGTTGGTTCACCATTTGACCTGGAGGCACAAACTCTTTGTGGACAAATTCCTGGCCATTGGAAAAGTAAATCAGCATGCTTTTGAGTTTCTACTTGCTCATTCTTGCTGTCTTGGTGAGTTTACGATGTGTCATTCCTGGCTTTGGGCTTTCGTTTCTGGGATGTACTTGAACACCTAAGACTCGTCACCAGTGATGAATGATACGTTCCAGCCGTTCCAAAACTCAAGGCACTGGCTCCTCCTGCTAATCTTTTGATCTGCGATAGGTTTTTTCAGAATTTTTGCACAAATTTGCTCATTTCCAATTTATTTGTTAAAATCTGATGAATGGTGATGTGGAGCAAATTCAACTCTTCTTCGATCATTCTGACTGCCAAGTGACTATCAGAAGTCTCAAAATTCTGGATTCTTGCAACATTTTCGTCTGTTCTTGCAGATGCATACTCCTGTGAGGTCGTCTTCAATCGATATATTTCCTTTCGCAAATGCCTTAAGCCGCATGAAAACACAGTCTTTTGACAAAACTTTGTTTTCATAAGCCTGCTGAAACTTTGCAAAAGATTTTGTTGCAGTGTGCTCAAGTCTGAAGCAAAATCTGATAGCACAACGTTGCTTAAAATTAATGTCAGTCATTTTTAGAACGCATAAAAAAATACTTTGCAAACAAAAACGTCCTATTAACAACTACGTGAATGTACTCAGTTTAAACTCATACTGTGCATGGAATGTTTTCTCCCCCTTTCATCAAAACTGTAAGTCAACAGTGCTACTATATCGAACATTATGCTTTCAGTCTCGTTATACTATTTACAAACATTGTAAATTAACAAGCTCATATTCATCAAAGTTTAACAAGCTTATGATCTTTCTTTGGACATTTTCTTCTCTAAATATTAGACTATGGTTTTACTCAAAGAAAACTCCATCGTAGATGTAAAGTTGGTTCTAATCAATCGATTTATAGGCTGATTTTATCTACTTCTCATAGTGCCCATATTAAACAGTAGATTCAGTTCCGTTAAGCTGGCTTTCTTTTGACATAAATTATGTTTTTTTTTAAAGCAATCACTATTTCAAACAGAAAAGAGTGAATAGGTATAAACATTATTTCAAATAACATTGACAGCCTTGTAGAATAACTAATTAAGTATTTTTCCACAAGTTTCTGCATTAATAAATTTTCACTAATTAATAAACCTCCAATAAGATTTAACAAACCTCCATTCCTTCTTTTTCAGTTTTCTACATTATCTCAGTTAAATATGCATAAAATTCACATATATACACATCCAAAAAAGGGATTCTGTTAAATTAAATTTCAAATTGAAATGGCGAGGCCATTCAAATTGCATTTTTCTGAACTTATGCCTCACTTTAAGTGTCAAGACATCTCCTACAGAAATTTTTTAAAACCGAAGTGACATGCAGAAATGGCAAACAATCGAAACAAATTTACTCTGAAAGGTTTCCTATTTATCAAAATGTAAATTGAACCAATTTTTCTGTGAAAGATGAGAATTTCATTGTTTTTAGTGTACGTACTTAAAAAGTATTTATTGTTTCGAAGGGAATTTTAAATTACTAGTTCATATTCAGTTTTTAATCAGCCAAGTATCTTAGCCAAGGTTAGTCAAGTTCCTTGGTACAACTTGGCAGATTTCTACCAGGCTTTTTTGCTGCTTTATGATTATTGCGATTTCCGATCTTGAAATGCCCAAATATTTTTAATTGAAAAAAATACAAGTTATTTTTATGATTCTAGTTCTTGTATACTGTAGTCTTTCCTGTATGTTTCTTGTTCTAATTACGTTATCACTCCTGCTCACAAATCCAATTTTTTTTTTGCTATCTACATCATCTATCTTAAGCTTTTTAAATATTCTTGGTAGAAAATTTGTTATATTTATTTACATATTATTGCGTCGTACCAGTTTCGTAATGTATTGAATGCACACAGAACCAATGATAACGTGAAAGAATTTATTTTTTAAAAAGAAGCACTTTACATCTCTGGAAATTTCGACAAAAGTACTCGTACAGCTTTTCTCAGTGTAACAAAGCACAATCAATAGTTACCACTTCAAGCTACTAAAAACATTAAACACAACACAACACAATTATGTTTATTATGTTTTAGCGAAAGGTTATGTTTAAATTTAATCAAGAAATGTGCAAACAAAGTAGCTAAGTTTATACTAATTTGCATAAACTCCTGAAATATTTATTCTTAAAATTAACTTGACGCAGAAACTGTGTCTAAGCAGAAAAGAGGTATTGCAATATAATTATTTTATATTTTGATAATATTTTATTATCAATTATTGTAGAGTAAAAGAGAATATAGAAATGGATAATATTTAAGCTAAGAACCTTTTGCGAAGAGCAAATATTCGACATACTTCTTGCATGTTTCCCCCACATATTTATACGCGCCACAAAGAGAGCTTTGTTATAAATGATTCAGTTTTTAATTAAACGTAAGGGGAAAATAATTAAATTACTTTAAGTAGAGGACTAGAATTTCTTCCACCGTGAAAATTATAAGAATATCTCAATTTAATTATTCATACTGAAGCATAAAAAAGGTATAGGCCAGCAAATAAGCTTGTATATACTTATCTTAAGGCTCATTAAGAAGAATAAAAAGACAAAGATTCTAAGCTTTGTCGTATTCCGTCGCGGTAACTCAACAATTTCAGACGTTTGAAGCATACCTCAGTTACGCGATAGTAAGTTTAAGTAATATTTTTTAACTGTAACTTATGTTGAATCCTAATGCAATTGAGGCTGCCTAGACGATGAACACTGGTAGTTCGGTTCGGGTTCGAATCGCGACGAACGGGCTGGCTCCATGGGCGTTTTCGTTGTTTTCACCATGTTTAACGAGGATACGAGTCAGTTTTCCATAGAAAGCCCTTCACGAAGGAATCTCTTTCCTTAAGCCATGTTCATATAAATCCAAACCAAACCTAATGAAACTGATTTCCGTTTGAAGAAGAAAGAGCTCATCACTTCTACGAGTGTAATCCTGAACTGCTAATCGACCGCTACATTAAGAATATTTTTGAAATAACTGTCAGTTTAAATTAGACAACTGGAATACTTATACGTTTCCGTTTGAATTGGTAGCTAAAACTGTAAAGGTTAACTGCTCAAATTGACAGCTGTATATTTGTTCGCAAATCAGTTTGTAGAGATATTAGGTATATTTTTGGAAGCAGGAAAAATGAAAAATAGCAACCGCCTTCGCCGGGAATCGAACCACGGACCTCTAAAATACCGGCTCAGTGTGCTGACCACTACACCACGAAGGCACGCTAAGAAGGCGGGAGAAATACCTTACATACTCCTCCTTTTAAAGGGCTACTGGGTATTTTAGGGGACCCAATCGCCAAATCCTGGGTGTGGAGATTCATAATCACAACCCTTTTAGTTTGGGCGCCACTGTAGAGACATTAGGTTAATTGGAAGCAGGCAAGATGAAAAATTAGCAACCGCCTTCGCCGGGAATCGAACCGCGGACCTCTGGAATACCGGCCCAGCGGGCAGGACCACGACACCACGAAGGCACGCTAGGAAAGTGGGAGAAATACCTTATAAGTTTCTATTCAAGTTTTGCTTTATAGGTAATTTTAATCTTCCCCATGGCTATAGAGACCAGTTTTGCACATATTAGGGCCATTTAGGCACTTATTTAAAAAGAAACTAGCAGAAAAACCAATCGACAAGATCTTGCATTTCCAACTCCATATAAGAAGTAAATTTTAAATCTCCTTAGTTTCCTCAAATTTCTTAAGGCAAATTTAAAATTTGAACGTGCGGGTCATATATGTTCCAGTCACCAGAAAAACGTTTAAGTTATACCACAAATTATGGTTCAAATAAACTTTTAGTTACTCTTCGTTTAATTATGCAGCAATACTTTTATCCATATGTTGATGATAAAGCGCTTTACCACTTACGTAGCTTTAGTTAGCGCTTAGGTGAAAATTAGGCTGACACACAGAATTTAAATTTAGTGTTAAAAAGGTGTCATAAAATTAAGAAAACAGATTTATTTTTGATTTCCTTTCATTCCATGTTGACAAGGAAAGCACAATGTACAACGATGTAAGTTATTTATTTCAATTTTTTTTCTTTCGAGACTACATATGCCGACTCAATAAAAGTCAGCTGGTGTCAGATTGCGAATGGGCCTGTTTTTAAGCTTAGCGGGTGCACTGCATTTTCCTGTGAAAGTCTTCGGTAGATCCTTCTTGCTAATCCATTTCAAAGACTTGTCGCATTTGATTGGATTATCTGTAGGAAGATACATGAAGAATTTATTATTTGTTAACGTAACAAATTATACACTATATGCATTATGTAATATTACCTTACTAACTTTATTCCTTGTATCATATATGTATCTATCATATACTAGTTCACAAAATGCAGTTTGAAGAAACTGTTCTGATAGAATGGTCCGAAATGTATTTGAAATGCAGTTTCCAAGAACAAAATTGTTTGAATGCACAAATCTTAAGCAGTTAAAATATATATTTTTCAGTGCAAAGGTTCGTGGAAAAGACATGTCACTTGCCTGAAATTCATAATAAATAAATTTGTCAGTTACGTAGGTAATAGCGGAAAATGTATGAAGCGATATCATCGCGAACAGTGTGCATTTATTTCGTACTGTAAGGAAAACTGAACTGAAGCAGCTTTCGATTATTCGAAGCGATGTCACATTTGTAGCATAGATCTTTTGAGGAAAGGAACTTGGGTTTCTTTGATGAAAAATAGGTCCTTATGCTGCCACAACCAGATTTCTCATAATCTGATCTCTATTTCTTTCTTATCAAGATGATTCTCAGGAGTCAACGTTTTCCAAACAATTCATGCTAAGACGTGCAATCTATGACGGATACCAAAAGAAACATTCTACCAGTCCTTTCAGAATGGTCAGGTGTAATGAAACAAATATGCGTTCATGTTGCTTCGAAAGCAACTACATAATAACTTTCTACATTTCAAATGTAGCTACCCCACCAACATCTTTCGCGAGTTTTTAGCACAACAATATTAAGCACAGAAGTCCTACTGTGAAGTTAGAAGTTTAAAATACCTAATAAGTAACGTTATTAAATATGAGAAATATGGAAAAAGTTTACTGAAAATTTATAGGCTACTAGTTGGGGAAAAAAGATACCAGGATCAAAAGAATAGGAGCATGCTTAATTCTTATTATATGACTTTTCAAAGTAATGACAAATTAACAAAAGCGTTTAAATTCTAATTATGAGCACTTTGTACCACAGGCAGTTTACTTTTCATGTCATCAGCAGTTGGTTCACCCTGTCACCAGATAGTGAACATTTTCGTTTATAAATTTTATTGGAGAAACGGAAGCAAATAGACTCCATATTATTGTCCAAGTTATCCAAACTAGCAATTGAAGAAGCTACTAAAGTAATTAAAACTATGGAGGTATAAATAAGAAACGTAATTTAAAAGACTGACACAAAGTGCACGCCAGCAGCTCATAAAGATTTATGTTTCCTGTAACATCGGAATCATCAGCTTATATTTCCTGCAACATGAGAATTTAAAAACAAAAGGAATTTTATGAAAAGACCAAGTTAGAAGGACGTTCTTCGAAAATCAGTGTACAGAACTGTCGAAATCGGTCTTCTCAAGTAATTTTGCGTCAATGTCTTGACAGTCACTGTTTCACATATTAAAAGTAAATTTTACATCTTGTGCCCTTGTATGTTGTAGAAAACATTCCTGTCTATTTCTTACAACTGCTACATATGGCGATATTCCATTTAGTCATAGAAATAATTAAACTGTTATTCAACACGTAATGAATAAGCATATGAGTAGATATAAAAAGAAGGGTGTGATGGCCACAAAAATTTATAAAAATAAAAAAAACATTTCAATAACAATATACGATTTGGATGTTAAATGAATCTCTAGAAAGAGATTTTTCTAAAGGGAATTAATCAAGAATTTCACAGACAGCGATTACTTATCCGGGGTAACAATCGCAATATGAATAGATAGGAAAATGATGCTAAATAGTTTCTTTTGTAGGCGGAGACTTTTAACAGATTCTTTAGCAATAAATTGGTTTCTGTAATTGAAACAAAAATCTCTCTAACCTAATCTAAAACTTTACCTCCTTTCAGAGAGGACAGGAAAGCAATTCATTTTCATACAGACAATCATATATTATTCGTAAATAATTAATGAATTTTTTAATCTCATGAACTTTGATACCAACCTGTATACATATAATTAATAAAAGAAGTAAAAAACTGCAATAAATAATTAAGTCAGAAATGATTTTGCATCAGAGTAAAAATATAATTCTAACAGTATATTTATCGAAATTTCTGAGAACAAATTTATTCCATAAATGAGCATTTGTTCTGCTGTCTTGCAAAATGATATCCTACATCACAAGTCACATATTTGATTATGATGTAGGATATCATTTCTGTACAGCTAAAACAATAAAGCCTTACTAAAACCTATTCCAGCTAAAACATATAAAGTTGATGCTGTAATAAAATCAAATGATGACCTGTACAATCTAAGCAAATACTTTGCTATCTAGATCATCTTAATATTTCATTTTTTTCAACATTTGACAAAATGAAATTTTCCTCTGTGAACAGGTGTATACGAGCCAGTTTCCCTTAGAAAGTCCTCCACGAAGGCATCCCTCCCTTTAGGCAGATAGCCCTAGTGTGCTTTGCTATAATTAAATACTACTACTACTACTACACATCTGTAAACAGTAATTGAAAAATCATTTATTGCTTTGAGATTACATACAGCTAAAACATTTGGCATACAGGGTGTTTGAGAAAAGTAGCTGCAAGCTATATTTCGTTTTCTGTTAATCCTAAAAATGTATCGCTAATTGTAAAGTTTTTTAAAATGTGATACATAATTTTATTCAACTAGAACGTTTAATGGTTAAGAAGTTCTTTTTGTAAAATATCAACTGCACTGTAAATAAATGAACAACAAAATGTCATACATACTTAGAACTTTAAATTAATGCGTTAAGGATATAAGACGAATATAAAATCATAGCATCGATAAGAATATAAAATCATAGCATCGATTCCTGGGGACCGGCAAGACCGACCAAGCAAAACAGGTTTGACATATAAATTGTTAAACGCAAAATTCATCGATGTACTGAAGAGTGAACTTATCTGGCTCAGCTCATTTTTCATTGATAATTTCTAATCAATGTTAATAAGAGTTGACCATATTTAAGGAGCAACTATAAAAGTTTCTTGTTCTAGGGAATAAATGGTTTTTAGATTGGGTAACACAGTATTCGTTATTAACTTTGTAACTGACTTCTGAAACTCTTAAGTTACTAATGGCTCCGCGAATTTTGCTGTCAAATATATGGAACTCTCAAAATGTAAAAAATACTCACCTTCCAAAATGACTCGAGAAAAGCTTTCCACAATAAAGGACCAGGTGGATTCACTCACAGTTTTTAGCAGATTACGTCCTAAATCTATGCTTTTAAGGCTTGGCATATCTTTGAATATGTCATCTGGCAGAGTTTGGAGCTTGTTACCACTGACAATATAAAAAACGTCAGTATTTAATAAAGCACAACATAAATAAGTACATTTATAAATCTTACTAAAAACCATTAGTTCAGCTTCAGTCTTAAAGGTATCAGTTTTACTGTACTTATTGTTATTCATATTCTGATCTGCATCTCACTGTGAAAGCAAAGAAATCATTACAGATATAAATTAGGCTATAGATTCCAGGTTATCCAAAATAGCGCCTACAATAACGTTGCATATTGAAATTATTCAAAATTTTCAGCATATTCAAATATTAACTGAATTAATTATTTTATAGTTATATGCTCAAGCATATATACATATAATGATTAACTAAAGTAACTTACTAAGAGAAACATTCAAAGGATGATTACTGATTTGAGGTCCTTGTTTCCCTCCAGCTGTTAGTCAAGAAGTGTTTCTTTGCACAAAATTTTCTATTTAAATATAAACGTTACTTATAAGAAAACTATATATTTTTATTGAAATGGAGTCTACTGAAGCTAGCCTAAATATGCCAGTAATAAAACGTGATTAAGGACTGACGTAATCATTTTGAATAAAATGAAAAAACGCAAAGGTTTTAAATACTCTTTAGACACTTATAGAAGTAAGTTTAAGATAAATCTTTTAAAATAAATGTTACACTCTACAAATTTTAAGATAAATCATTTGATCAATAACATTTATTTTGAAAAAAATTCAAGGTTTATTCGCATACTCTGAAGAGCACAGTTCAATCCACATGATTATGTGAATGTTTTAAACATTTAACATTTTTCTATATTTTGGAATTCGGAATTTTACAAAGAATAATTTTATGCAGAGAGACGCAACTAATTTAATGTTAGTTAAATCTTTTTCCTTTGACCTACTCAACTTAGTAGTATGCTCTAAATATTTCAGTCATTTAAGTTTCAAGTTATTTGAATTACCGATGTGCTTTGCGCTGATACAAGGCCGAATTGCGTATCAACTTCGTAACGTTAACCTTCTGTTAAAACACTAAGATCAGTCGATAAGAATAACATAACAGGACTCATCATATAAAGAAGACAGAAAAACTAAGTTTCCAGCTCTCCATTCCGTATCTGAAATTTAAATTTATATTTACTTATTTATATTTATAATACTGGATCGTTCTTTGCAAAAGCAAGGTTCATTAACCCTAACCATCAGACCGTGGCAAATATCACCACTACTGGGAAAGCGTATACATTTCCTTATATTTTTGTTAGTCTCATCCATCTTTTGATCGAGATGAAATATCTTTGTAAGTTGCAAAGGACGAGAAATAAAGCAATGCATAAAATGAACTTCAGAATTTATATGTAGACAACAGAAAACTAAGTGTGGCTTTCTGTGCGTGTAAGCATAAAATTTAAGCCAAATTTAAGAGATTATAAATTGAGTTTGTAGATAATCGTCTTAAATATTGCACCACATTTTAATTACGTATTTGTTTTAGCATTTAAATGCCAGTGACTGCAATAATTTAAAACAGAATAAGAATGCGACTAATTTTCGATTTTTTTTATTTATTTCTTTTTTTTAAACTAGTTTGTAAATTGTACTTCTTTTCAAAGAGTTATAATGGTGATTTAAGACTAAAACCCTTTTACTCCTGAGCAGTTAGACTTTGTCAAGTACATAGAGTGCCTTGAAGCTGAAATTCGAATGCCGCTTGGCTGAAATTGCCATATACGGATCGTCATTAGTCATAGTACTTCCTGAACACCCTTACCCAAGCTTTTTTGGTATGGATTTAGTCTCTGAAACTATTTCTCAATTTGCAGATGACAGAGGACGTTGTAAAGAGCTCTCTTGCTAACTTGAGTTTAAGACAGACCTGTCTCCTTTCTACCAACGATTCTCCTACTCATTCAGTCATGTAAACGTTGGTGGTTACTCATTCTACCGTACTACTTATGAAATTTAATAAAATTTTGCTTCAAACTTTGTGATTACTGCCGATGTATACGAATAAAGTAAGTGAGGAATAACAAACGACCACGTTTTGTGCCGCAACGTCATCTACACGTACGAGTATCGACACTAACACTACTGTATTTTTATTTGATCAGATACTTCCCAGACTTGGTCTAATACTTTTCTGAAATTTGGGAAAATGTATTTATTCACTTCATTTTAAATACTAGTGCATCAATTCTGCTCTTTTTTAGTGAAGGTCTAATATACTAAGTGATATTAATTGTATCACTACCTGTTTTGAGCATCAGAAGGAAAATGTACGGGAGTTTTTCCCATTTAAGAACATTTATTTTAACATTTATTTCACATCTAAAGGCAGAAAGATATATACAACGAGAGGCTTTGAAATCTTTCTTTTCAATCCTCGCAACATCGGCAAGAAAAACCTAGCTTTGCACTGTATGCACGACCAAAATATATTATGTGGTTTTTCCCACTCACCAGTACATATTATTATGCAGTTGAGTATTGCCTGAGGTAGATACTATTTTTTTAATACATCAAACCCGCATAAGGTTAGTAAAAATTACTACTTTCCGATGAAGCAGAAATAATAATTTGAGAACATGAGTGCATTACTCGTTATTAATTAGGAAGTAATAGTCTCGTATTCTACCACGGATAAGCAACTCTGTTTGCTATCTACTGAATAATAATAAACTGTAAAATAGCATGTCTTCTGTCAAAACCCTCTTAGGCTTGTAATATGACTGCTACAACAAACAAACTTTATGTTACTTAGCCTCATTTCACAGATAACTAATGAATTTTTCTTTTATTATTGTGTTTAGCAAAGCAATATGGCACTTAATCGGAAGTCTTAAGAAGATCTCTGAAACATTTAAAATTCCTTCAGGTTCTATTTTTATTGAATATTTTAATGCATTAAATATTCCTTGACTTACTTTAAATCTATGCTACGCAAATTTTCTGCTGGTCTAGGAAACATGCTTCGACTCACAGCTGTGATTTCATTGTCGGTGAGAAAAAGCGTTGTCAGGCTATCCATTTTTGAAAATACTTTATCTTCCAGTTTTTCAATTTGACACTCACTAAAAGTTAATGATCTTAAAACTGGTCCAGAAGAACTTAGCCAGCTATTCTTAAGGATTTTAATTTCATTTCTGTCGAAGCGCATCTCCTTTAGAATTTCGAGATGTTCAACTGACCATGTTTCCATTGGTGTATCTTTATCGAAAGAAGATAAAAACGTCAGTCTATTCAAAGATGATTCCAAACCAACAAACTGAGGAGATTCTAATCTCACACTCGAATTAGTGAATACTACTTGTTTTATGGACAAACCTCGGAACATATCAGATTTAATTACATCGATTTCATTTTTCCAAAAGGATACTTTGAAAATCTTGTAACCAGAAAGCTTGTTAAAAGCATTTTGAATCTGCTTTGATTCGTTGAGATAATTGCAGTGTACAACCATTTCCTCTTCCTCTTCACAATAACATGGATAATTATCTTCTGGAGGTGGGCATTCTTCAATGAGATTCGCATCGCTGCTTCTAATGATGTAGCAAATTACCGTTAAGTAAATGCACCAATAGTGGATTTTTTGCAGCATGATGCTAGAACCTAAGAAATGATATTCAATCAATACTTTGAAGAACTTTAAAATTTACAGAATACAATATATATATAATGTATGCATGCAAAATGTATTATTTTCTTTCTAAGATCACGTAAATAAAAGTAGAGAATTAAGCTCAATAGAGGAACTCTTCAAATTTCATTAATTCAACCTTTTTTAAGTAAGGTTTTCCTACCAGTATAATTCCACCAAGATACATATGCAGATCTAGGAAGACAAATATGAATAATTAGTATGCTGCGTTCATGCTAAGTAAATGGAGGATGATTTTGGGGGAAAGAGAAACCGTGCAACTATTCCGTTAAACTCATTACAGCCTAAGAGAACCTTTAATTTAACTAACCATACAAGTGCAACTAAATGAAAATGAAGCTGGTCAAATATCTTAAACAATTTTAAAATTTACAAAAGTTTTGAAACAACAGAGCGTTTAATAAAGCCCAACCCTTTACGTAAAATCTAATTATTAAATGTCGTATATAAAGTCTTGATGTTGTGCAATGGCAAAGATGCGTTCCAATTACATTAAGCTACGCAACCGCCCTTTTCATTTGCCTTCTTGATTCTTTCATTTTCAAGGAGAACAGGTAAATCTCTTTATTATTGTGAAGTTTATAAAGAGTCAAAAATTTTGTCTAATAACTAGAACGATACTGAATAAATTTAAAAACTAGGAATAAAAGCATCAGGTGGTACATTAATTTATTTCAAGATTGAAATACCTTCTATATATCAAATAAAACCATGAGAGAAAAATTAGTTTCTTTTCACATTTCCGATAAAACTATGAAATTCAAATCGTAAAAATAGCACAAAATCATCATTTGCATTACAAGCAAAAGTGAATAACATACTCTAGTAGCCATAATAAAAGAATTATTTTGTTTGCTCTTATTATTGAAGAAGAAATGAAGGTTTGAAGCACATTCAATGCTGTGAGTTGATTGCGAAGAATCTCCGCCTTAGGTCTTGCGCGCTGGATTTCACTCAAAGAAAACTTTCGAACAAATTTCGAAAAACATTTCTCAAGAAAATCCATAAAACAATCCAAATACACAGCAGAGCTCTTATAAAGTTTAATATGATTTATAATAAGGTTATCTGTAGAGACAGTCTAGGTGGAATAGAGAAACATTTCATTGGATACTAGATGAATATACATTTAGACTAACATGGAGAGGTTAGATATCTTCAGTATACTTGAAAAGTGAAAATACGTATAACGTAATGCTTTGAAAATATGTTATGTTTTTAATTAGCTGTATCATTAATTAAATGCATTTTATTTAAACAAATCAAATTAAAGAGTAAAAAATAATATTCTTAAGAATTGCATCTCTTGCTTTTAAATAGCTTAGTTAGTTAATCAGTAACAGACACAATAAGATTGAAAGATAAATATCTTACATTTTGCCGCATGGTAACAGACTCGAATGAAAACTAAAATAATGCATTTACAGCTGGCGCCATTTGAAGTGAATCAAAGCAAAATCGTGTTTCGAGACTAATAGCCCTTTTGAGCTAATAATGCAATTCGAAATACAGAACAATAATTTAAGAAGAGTACAAGTTTATTTACTATTCTGAGGCCACACTAGCTCTTTGCAGCTCTTGAAAAGGTCTAGATCAGAAAATTTCATCAGATTTACGTGATAAGTTACAGATTTGGCTAAAACGTATTACGCAGCTCATATTTTTAGGATGTCTTTAAGAGTAGCCGCCAGATAACAAAATGTTCATCTGTATTAAATTATAAATTTCTTTCTAAAATTACTGCAATCTCTAAAAAATAAAACTAAACAAACAGCTCAGCTTTTAATTCACTTCTATCGTTTTGTATAAAAAACGAGTTTTGTTAAAATTGGCAAGTAACTTTGTTTTACTGGAAGTTTCATTATTGTGTTTGGCTAGTTATTTGACAGATTTGAAAATTAGAATAATGCTTACAAGAAATGCAAAAACGTAAAGAACCGAATGTACAACAATGGTTTCAGATCTTGTTTATAGAAAAGGGAAACTCAAGCTGAGATTGCAAAAAATCGTAAATGTTCATAGTGGGTTTACAATATACTTTTGAACGTTTAGGAAAACAAGATTCCACTTAACTAGAAAAAGAACTAGGCAAAAACTAGCCGGACATTGATTCGAAAATCAGTAAAATGTCGAAGAAAAAATTGCTTGTTGTAGAGTTATCAGAGGAAACTGAACACTCATTTTGTGCTGAAACTGGGAGAAATGTACTTATAGCAGCTGGTCTGAAAAGCCTTTATCTTGTAGGTGAATGATTAAAGATTATTTTTTTTTATTTACGGTAACTATAGTAAAACCTATCGTGGTGGGCTTTTCCTACCAGAATTTTAGACAAGTAGTCCTTTGTGTGAAATCATGTTAAGTGTGTTTTTTAATTAATGTGAATCAGCAACTGATTGATTTTATGAAATTTGGATTTGCATCCCAAAATTAAATTCTAATATATTAAGTTAAATTCATTTATTCTGATTTTTATCCATTATTACTTTTTTAACTTTGTTTAAATTTCATCAGCAAAAACAGATCTATATATGCCGAAATTATAGGGAATATTCGATTCAAAATATGTAATGAATGCTATCTAATGTTCTACTACTAAAAAATTCCATCTACTGTCCAAAACTTTCTTACTTGATAGAAACTATTACCTAAATAATTTTGGGATCAGGAAAGAGTAATTAATAAATAGAACAAAGAAATCATTAAGATAAAAAAATTCTGAAAACTTTCTGATTTTACCCTCAAAGGGACGTTTCCTTAACGTTTTGTGTGTTAAGGTAACACACAAAACGTTTATTAAATATCATGTTCTTCGCACTTAAACTATAAAATTCAGTTCAACATCAGTATCACAAAATAATTTTAAAATGAGCATATCTTTAGAATTTCCGATACACAGTCTCGCGCACTGGAGATAAATTTTTTTTTTTCGTACACTGTTCCCATTCCTCGCTCTGAAATCGTTGAGTTTGTTAGTCAAAAATTCGTTAAAGTTTTACAAAATATGAAATAGATAATAATACAAATTCCAATTTTTGGCTTCATTTTGTGCTGAAACTGGGAGAAATGTATTTATAGCTGCTGGTCTGAAAAGCTTTTATCTTGTAGGTGAATGATTAAAGATTATTTTTTTTTACTTACGGTAACTATAGTAAAAACCATAGAAGTGGGCTTTTTCTACCAGAATTTTAGACATGTGGATTTTAGACTACCAAAATTTTAGACATGTTAGGTGTGTTGTACATAGTGAAATCATGTCAGGTGTGTTTTTTAATTAATGCGAATCAGCATAAATTAAAAAACCCATATTCGATATTCCCCATTCTTCCAGATGCCCATATTCGGGTGGAAACGTACGTTATTCAAAATTTGATGGCTCTAGGTACCGTTGTTTTATCACAATGCGAGAAAATTACATACATTTATGCAAATTCTTCATTATTTAATTTCTTTAAATATAACACAGGGCGATATTATTTGGTGGCAACAATTTGAAAAGTAAACCGACATTTATAGTGAATCAATACAAAATGCCAAAACGAAATTAATAGTCCTTCTGGGCAAATTGCACCTTTGGACTAATAATGTTACTAAAAAGGAACCCCTTGTGCTGGCTTAGATTTTTAAATAAAATTCTTTTGATTTCAAGGGCAAACTGACATGGGTCCTTCATCTGCTTCTGAAGAAGGAAGCCCTACATCAGTTCGCTCCTGAAATCAATTCTGTTTTACTTTAAAATATACCTTTATTTAATGCGAATTTCCTTTTATTATACAGACGTTAAGTTTTTTTCAAGTTGGGAAACAGAAAAATCGACTGTTCCCTCTTCGTTCGGATCTTCTGTTTGCGAGCTGGATATGCTAACCACTTACACCACGAAAGCAAGCACAAAGGAATGGAATATTTCCCTACAAATGTATTAAGCAGACGTTACTTATACAGAACAATACAATACTACGATTGAATCAGTTCCAGTCAAAATCTAGTGATTTAGAAAATACCTTTAACTATGTAAACTTCCTTGTCTAGCTGCATAAATACAGAAATTTACTTATGTAAAGAGCTATAGAAATATTTTTTTTAAATTTATTTTTTATTTTAATAGCATTAAATGATAAAAATTTTCACTTGATCATTTAACGTCACTATAAAATATATACTTGGTAAATGAAAATTATAATTTATTTGTAAACTTACTGTTGATGCCTTACCTGTGAAATTAGTCAATAGTATCCACTAACAGTTATAATTTCTCAACAAATCTAGAAACTAGATATATCAGTAAACATGTCATTTGCAATCTGTAACCAGCTGCATAATTTTCCTATTGATACCGCATACAGCTACAATGAAAGTCTTACGTTTGAAATCTCGGTTCCAGACAGCATTCCATAGTTCAGAATGAAATTATCTCTCTTTCATGGGAATATTCACACGCTGCAAAATCATAATATTGTTATTTCTGAAGTTTCGATCGATGTTAAATTATTTATATTTCTGATGAAAGGGAGCTTATATTTGATATATAATATGAAACAATTAAGGCTAAATTAAAGAATCAAGGCACAGAAAAACCATTCAATAATCCATTAATGTAAGTCTAAAATGTTAATTTAATATATAACTAATAAATTAGGATAATAATAAACTTAACAACAAAATAGTTTTAGATATAAAACATAATAATTATTTGGAACAAGAAAACAGAAGCAGAAAATTAATGGATGAACTGTAAACAGCTTTCAGTTCCCAAAATTTCGAATTTTACAACTTGGTCAAACATTTATATACCTTTTTCATTCAAAAATTATGCAAAAATATTTTAAATTATTTTCTATTTTGATTTCTGCTTTTCGGAAGGGAGTATTTGCTAGCAAAATTTAAAATTGGAAATAACCAAGTCATCTGGTAAGCCACCATACTATAAATATGTTACTTTAAATATGAACTTCCAAGCTGTTGCTACCCCCCCCCCCATTTTCAAACGCAGCTCTTATCTTGATCACATGACAGCCACCATACTATAAATATGTTACTTTAAATATGACCTTCAAAGCTGTTGCTACCCCCCCCCTCATTTGCAAACGCAGCTCTTATCTTGATCACATGACAGTATTTATTTCCTCCACATCGTCTGAAACTATAGCTGAAATCGTGTGCTTTTCATGGAGCTAACACGCTAAATGGAATTGAAAAGGGCGAAAAATTAAGCGAATCGACTTTTTTCCGCAGCTTTTGTTTCCATGGTTACGAGTCAAATCGAGTGGCGGAAAATACTTCTGAAGTTCCTATTTTAAAGTAACAGACTACACTGAATTGACAAAAGTCATGGGATACCTCCTAATATTTTGTCGGTCCTCCTTTTGGCCGGCGAAGTGCAGCAACTCGACGTGGCATGGACTCAACAAGTCGTTGGAAGTCCCCTGCAGGAATATTGAGCCATGCTGAATCTATAGACGGCCAAAATTGTGAAAGTGTTGACGGTGCAGGGTTTTGGGCACGAACTGACCTCTCGATGATGCCCCATAAATGTTCGATGGGATTCATGTCGGGCGATCTAGGTGGCCAGATCATTCGCTGGAATTATCCTGAATGTTCTTCTAACCAATCGCGAACAATTGTGGCCCGGTGACATAGCGCATTGTCATCCATAAAAATCCCATCGTTGTTTGAGTACGTGAAGTCCATGAATGGCTGTAAGTGATCTCCAAGTAGCTGAAGGTATCCATTTCCAGTCAATGATCGGTTCAGTTGCACCAGAGGACCGAGTCCATGCCATGTAAAAACAGCCCAGACCATTATGGAACCACCACCAGCTTGAACCACCTTGTTGACAACTTAGGTCCATGGCTTCGTGGGGTCTACGCCACACTCGAACCCTACCATCAGCTCTTACCAACTGAAATCGTGACTCATCTGACCAAGCCACGGTTTCACGGTTTTCCATTCGTTTAGGGACCAACCGATATGCTCACGAGCCCACGAGAGTCGCTGCAGGCGATGTCGTGCTGTCAGTAAAGGCACTCGAGTCGGTCTTCTGCTGGCATAGCCCAAGGAAGACAAATTTCGCCGCACTGTCCTATCGGACACGTCTCTCGTACGTCCCACATTGATTTCTGCGGTTATTTGATTCAGTGTTGCTTGTCTGTGAACATTGACAACTCTACGCAGACATCGCTGGTCTCGGTCGTTAAATGCAGGTGGTCGGCCACTGCGCTGTCCATGGTGGGATGTTATGCCTGAAGTTAGATACTCTCGGCACACTCTTGACACTGTGGATCTCGGAATGTTGAATTCCCTAACGATATCGAAATGGAATGACCCATGCGTCTAGCTCCAACTACCATTCCGCGTTCAAAGTCTGTTAATTTTCGTCGTGCGGCCATAATCACGTCAAAGCCTCTTCACATGAATAACTTGAACACAAATGAAAGCCCTGCCAAAGCACTTCGCATTTATACATTTTCTACGCGATACTACTGCCATCTGTATATTTGCATATTGCTATCCCATGACTTTTGTCACTTCAGAGTATAATGAGTGTAGTTCTTTAAAAATCTTTGGATTTGATCTTTTGTGGAATTAAATAAAAGCATCGATAGCGCTAAATAAGAATAGTAAATCTCAGAAGATATCTGAAATAAAACTGCCAAGTCTACTAGGTTTCTCAGATGCATTAAACATGAGAAACCAATTGTATTCTCACCGGGATTCGAATCGTGAATATACCAGGTGTTAGTTGGATTTGGTAACCACTCACACGACAACAGAATGCGCGGGGAAATGCGATAAACCTTGCGTTCTCTCCCACTCAAAGAATATTTCAAAAGAGGTGTGACACCCAGTCTATCAAACCCAAGTGGGCACAAGTTATCATCTACTACATTTTTAGAATGAATGTTACTATACTGACTGTTATCTTGCTTTAAAGCAGGAAACGTGAAAAATCAACTGTGTAATAACGTAACTAATTGGCCAGCATTTGAATCATGGAAAGATAGCTTGACGGGCTAACCATTTACGCCACAAAAGCAAATGCAGGAAAAAGCGATAATTCCATACAAAGCAAAAAAAATTCCGAAAAACGTTTAATAATTAACTGATATCAATTAACTATGCATTCTATTGTAAAGGAAGAATAATAAAGACAAGTTAGAAAGATTGGAAACAAACTTATAATAATTATCATAGGTTTTTGCATTCATCGTTATTTAATTAGAACTATAATTTTCGGGTTAATTTACCTCATCATTTGACTGTTTGTCAACAATAACATAGGCAACTTGTTTGTGTAGAAGTACAGTCTGCAAAAAAATACCTTTAATAGTTATAAACATCAAATAATAAATTTGAGAAAAATCTTATATTTCCTTACATTTTAATAATAATTAACTCAAGTCAAATGCTTTATAAATACAAGTCTCAAGAATGTTCAAAATTATATTTTGCATGGTTTCGTACTGTACATTTATGCACTTTTGCAACAGTTTATACATTAATTTTTGCTTCCTGTTCGAGTGGTTGTAGAGACATTAGGATTTTTTTTTAAAACAGGAGACATGAAAAATGAATAATGCCCTCTCCGGAACTCGAACCTCGGACCTCTCGAATACGCGTTGAGCGTGCTGGCCATTACGAAAGAATGCTAAGAAAGCGGTAGAAATGCCTTATATACACCCCCTTTTAAAAGGCGACTGGGGAATTAGGGGATCCAATCGCCAAATCCTGATGGTGGAGAATCATCATCCACCACCTTTTTTAGTTCGGCCGCCACTATAGAGACATTACTTATTTTTTAAAGCAGGAGAAGATACAACTGAGCAATGCCCTCGCCGGGACTCGAACCATGGACCTCTCAATTACGCGCCGAGTGTGCTGGCCATCACACCACGAAGGCATGCTAAGAAGGCAGGAGAAATACCTTATACAGTTTGTAACTGTGAGAAACATACGTGTAATCAGTGGTGATGATAAAACTAGAAAATAAAGGGAAAATCTAAAGTAATAAAAATAACGAAATATTTAATAAATGAATAATTTTATCTAAGAACATTGTCCATTAAATTTATATATTCACTCAAAACCTGTTTTCCGACTCATAGGAATGCATCCTTAAAAAAAGGGGAAAAAAAAGATTGAAATCTTTCGAGCGATATGTAGTTTCGATTTTTATACTGTAAAACATACAACAGTCAAATACATGAAGATAAATAACCTTTAGATTTCATTTCCTAACAACGAATGTTTTTATTTACATGCTATATAAAAGGTCTACTAAATTTTCATGAGAAAAACTCATTCCGTCTTCATTATAAACTCCTAAAAGAAATGTAGTTGATTTCATCTGCTAGAAAAATGAGAATTTAAAGCTACTTAAAAAATTCAGTCTTTTGCTATAAAGCCTACAAAATTTTGAATATTCAGTTTGAGTAGCTTCAGTAATTGACTAAATTTGAAATTTAAGGCTGGGCCATTAAATTTGATTTCAAACATCTTAATGATCAATCTAAATGAAATACTTTAAATTTTTTTCTTTAATAAGAGCTATTCAGAATGAAGACAATTATGTTATGGTCAAATGATTGTGTTATATTCAACTCAAAGATAAAACGAATTCATAAATTTGAAAAAACGCTGCTTTCAGATAGTATAAAAACAGCGAATATTAATGAGCAAGACGCGCGCATCTTGCGCTGAGACCATAAAGGGGACAGCGCACAGGAAAATAAATTTTTTTTTTCCTTCTTGACAGAGCTGTTCTGATCGTCTCAATTCGGTTCCACCCTGGGAACTGGGTTCAGAAGAGTGAGAATAATAATAGTACTGTGATTATGGTTCCACAATTAATTTCAAATAGTTTTCGTAAGTTTCATTTAGCCAAGAAATAAAAGTTCTTATGCCTTTAACTTCACAGTCATGATTTTAGTGTTTGTCTGTGAAATTGCAAATCAAACACGATATATGATAAACTGGATTATTGTTGAAAAATAAAATAAATTCTCGAGCCTTTAAGAATCATCAGGAAAGAAAGAAAGAAAATACTTTAAAATTTCGTATATCTGTTTAAATATTTTTACTTTAACTCCTTAAATTATTGACTCTCTGATCCTTGTAAAGATTTGAATTTAAAATGAAAAGAAATAAAATTCACTTCAGTTTTCAATATTTAGACATTCTCAAACCACATTCTTCACTGTCATTCAGAAGCTCTCTTTTCAATTTCAAGGCTCATGCAATCAAGAGCTGCATAAATAATCATTTAAAAAAAAGGTTTTATAAGACTTTACCTCTTATTCTGATGAGATAAATTAATTTTCTAAACGTAAAACGATAGAAAAATCCTGCTAATCCTTTCTACATTT